ATATGTACAATCATAATTGACATGAATGATATTACCAGATCAGCAGCTCTTTGAATAGCCTCTAATGTTTCCCCCTTAGCCTTATTAGCAGAAGCGATTGACAGCTCTGAGATTAGTAGGTCATGGAAGGATGATATCCATTGCTTGATAAATAAAGTATGTGGGGGTTTCCATCGTATTACAATTATTTTTTTGGCTGCTGTTAGACCAGCGAAAAGCACCCTTTTCTGATGGTTCTGTAGGTCAAGAGAAGAATCGTAATTCAACAATACAATATTTGGGAGACGGGGTATGTGAACTCCAATAATCTCAGATACAATGTCAATAACTTGTTTCCATAACGTTCTTACTGCAGTACATTCATAAACCATGTGTACATATGTGCCAATAGTCTTTTGGTTACAGAGTAGGCATATGGGGCTTGGAATCATCCTTAATTGACAGCATTTTCTGGTTGACAGGTAATATCTGTGTATCATTTTATACTGTATCAATTGGTGATTGTGGTTACGCGATGTTAAGGAGATATTATTCCATATTCTCTTCCAATCGATAGTCTGCGTGTCATTTTTTAGATCTGCGTTCCATACTGCAGAGATGCCAATATATCCGGTTAATTTATCTTGCAGCTTTTTATATATTTATGAAGTAGTGTCGCTCACACTGTTTGGACTTAATATGACTTTAACTAATTGATGTGTTGGCAGAGGTTGATTCCAAGGAACTCCATATGTGCGCATGGCAGTACGTAGTTGCAAATAGAAAAAGAAAGAAGAGCCAGGCACATTATACGTGTCTTTCGATTCTTGGAAGGACATCAAGCCGTTGTCGTTGGTTATGTCAGAAAGATAATGTATTCCTCGGGTTTGCCATTGTGGGAATTGGATTGCTTTTGTTCCAATACGTAGTAACAGGTTATGACAAATTGGTATGTTACTATGCCAATCTACAGACCAATTGCACCATTTCTCTACATGTTTCCACACTTTCACAGCTTGGCCAATAATTGGTCCAAATGTTTGCATACAGTCATATGGCGACATGGCAGAAAATAAGACATCACCAAGTTTAAGGGGATAGACTATACTTCTTTCAATTGTAATCCAAGGTACATTGGTGCTTTCATCCATCCAGTTTTTCAAGGCTCAAAGCATGAAGGAATAATAATAATAAAGCTCGAGATTGGGAACATTAAGGCCTCCACTGTTTTTGTCATATTGTAGAACTTTGTATCTGATTCTTGGGTATTGGGGGGGATTTCTATACAGTTACTTGGACATTTTATGTGTTGATTTCAGTAGTTTTAAGAATACCAGACTGGTATACTGGGTAACTTACTGTGAAACCTTTATGTTAGGAGATTACATTACATTACAATATATGGTATTTAGAATACTTTTTTATTTAAATTAACTTATATTCAGGTTAAAAGGTATGATGGGCATTATTCCCTTGAGCCAAAGCCGACCCAAATCAGAAAACTTTGAGTTTAAAGTCCGTGGTTTATTAATAATGTCCTTGAAGTTACTGTGATTTGCTAGTAATATTAGAGTTCTGAGACCTCAGTATTTTAAAAATCCTGGCTACAGCATGTCTAAGTCAAAATAAAGCATTTATTTAACATCCAATGTTGTTTTTTGAATATATGAATTAGGGTGCATAGAGATAACAATGTATGTTGCTAAGTATCCAGTTGGCTGCCATTTAAGCGATGAAATCGTTAAATAAGTGATGTCAATACTCTATTCAAGTTTGTTTCATATTTTGAGGAATGTTTTCGTCTGCCGCTACTTTCAGTTTCTCCAAGTCACATCCTCGATGTGAAGCGTGGGTTATTTGCTAATTCTTTCCATTGTGGCATTTTGTTTTTATTCTGCGTAAAAAGACAGGTGGGTGGAAATTGGCTAAGTTACTGCTGCTACACAAACAAAACAAACATATATATTTTGGCTCTGACAGCTTAACCATTCAGAAAATGGTCAGTTTAAATGGTGAATACAAATGGTACATACTGTAGTTGTGCCTCATTCTGGTCAGTGTCATGTTCTGGATTTGAGTCAAGAACAGTGAAGAGTCTCTTTTACACTGAGCTGCTGCTGATTCACAGGACTCTTGGTTACATATCAAACAATTCTTTAAAGGCAATCAGGGATCTGTTTTTTATCACCATCTGTCTGGCTGCTCTATCCCAGTCTTTCAGTAATCCACGTATGAACAGGCTGTTTAAAAAAACTGAAACAGTGTTTGACAAACCTGATCCAAGAAATGTCACATCTCAGTGATTTGAACATGTCATTTGTCCATTATATGATGGTTGTGTTCCAGGCAGTGACAGCACCTAATGAATACAATGCATACATTATAATCCGGTAGAAAATGGATATAGTGTTTTTAGAACAGCCTTAGTGCCAGATGGGGACTTAGGATGAATCTGAAAGAGCGATGATCATATTTAATAAGAACGGTTGTTTCTAGAATCACTCCCCTGCAGTTTTGATGAATGCCTCTGCACCCGGTTGGTCAGGACATGCAGCTGGTGGTCTGCACATTTCATTTGATTTTCCTTTGCCATTGTTCTGCCTACTGTGTTCTTGGCGCAAAGGCAATATTATACTTTGCAACATGGATAATTGCAATCAGACTCAAAAATAAATCACAACCGTAGTGTAAGCTTGCATGATAACGGGCCCTCCAAAATTCTAACAACAGAACATAGAAACTAGCTTGTAGGTATTTAAACTACTTCCTGGTAACAATCCCACTATGCAGAGTGCATCGCTTTATAGATTATAGATGCTACTGCTATGAGTGATCCAACATTAAGATTATTAACCTTTATTAACCCCAGAGGGAAAATTAAACGTTTTTCACTCTGATGATTATTTTACAATTACACATATAGGCGCGAAAAACACACAACTGCAAAAACAGGACCTATAGACATGCACTAATGGAGAGATGTGCCACCTCTCCATTAGTGCATGCATTATTGTTCTAGGAGCAGTTGGGGGTTCAATGCCTTGCTCAATGGCAGCTCGGCTTTACATTACAAGTCACTTGTAAGTCGCTTTTACCCACAGCGACTTATATACACTCAATACTGTGGCTGCTGACTGCAGTGGGGATTGAACCAGTACTCTCCTGATCCAAAGATCAGCGCTCTCACACAGGGCGAACTGGCACCTCTCCAGTTACGAGTCCACACCTCATATTTGAGGTCTGATTAGGTCTTGAACTGACAACTCTTAGGTTCCCGAGCCAAGTCCCTACTCAACATGATGATTGATAAATGTGCTCATGACTATACAGTATTTGCACAGTAACACTAGTCAACATATTTTCATATAACCTTACTACAAATTACTGTGTGTAATGTGGAAGGTGTCCAACAGAGAATTGTCACCTGACTGCATTTTTTCCCTTTTTAGGCGATTTAGCCTCTTTTGGCACACTGTTTCAATTTTGTGACCAGCAGCTTAGCACAAAATGGCAGGCAGACCAAATTGGAAAATATTTGTTGAACATTATAGCTTCAGGAGTTGGTCAAGAGTAGACGAGTCCTAAGCAGAGCTAACATAATTGTAACATTGGACTTACATACATCTGGTGACCAGAAACTCGTTGTTACGCCCCACCTAAATTCCTCCGGTTCAAAGGGAATAATGAAGATAATTAGCTAGAAATGAAATCGGAATGGTATGTTTGATTGCATTGATTGCTTTTGATGCTGAAAACAAAAATGAAAACCAAGACATGTAAGAACTTGCTATTCACTGTAGCGACTTGCATTGTTCAGTAAAAAAAGGAAATGCTTGAAAACACACACAGACAGGCTAACATGTATACAGGGAGATTAACTCAACGCTTTGCCAATATTGTTTCAACTGTGATGCTATTAGAGCAAAGTGAGGTGAACATTTAATTGAAATTGAAAGAGAGAGGGAGGGATAGACAAAGAGAAGAGATGAGTAATGATAACAGAAGAAGAACAGGGCATTCATACAGTATCTGTGTGTGTGTGTGTGTGTGTGTGTGTGTGTGTGTGTGTGTGTGTGTGTGTGTGTGTGTGTGTGTGTGTGTGTGTGTGTGTGTGTGTGTGTGTGTGTGTGTGTGTGTGTGTGTGTGTGTGTGTGTGTGTGTGTGTGTGTGTGTGTGTTGCCTCAGGAACAGTTGATGGATTTGCTGCTTGACTGCTCACACAGATTGCTGCCTGCTGTGATGGCAGCCTTGAACTGAAATTACATGCACACTCACACACATACACAAAGAGAGAACTACACATAATTGCCATTTTCTGTGTGTGCGCGCGCGTTTGTGTGTATTCTTAAGTCGGGACGTGCGGGTGTGTTGCCTCCAGGAGGACGTTTCAAAGCACTGTGGAGGGATGGATGAACACAAGGCCGAGCCAAGCACCAGAGGAGAAGACAATTGAAGGGGTTCAAAAATATGATTTTATGTGCTTATTAGATACATTTATTAAATTCTGTGTGATTTCTATTTAAATGAGTGACACGGTGGCTGCTTCTCCAATATGTATCCTTTTGTTTGTTTTAATTGGTGAATCAAGATGCATAACATCAGAAGGGATTCATACATCTTCAGCTTCACACTGAGCTGTATTCATTAATACAGCTCAGTGAGAGTTCTCTGTTACTCAAGAGTTTAAAGATACGATAGATCATTGAGGCAGTCGGAGTAGATTAGGAATTATCTTGATGTTATGCATTACAACAGTGGAGATAATTACCCCATCCACACATCTCTAAATCAAGACCATGATATGATTAGTGCCTTTTTTCAGAATGGGCACATCCTGTATGTTTCTGGTTTCACAGTGGCCATGAACTGTCCTTGTCTTTGTGTTGTTGTTTTAATCCTCTCATGTTATAGATATATTGGTTATTTTCTCCCGTTTGGATTTAGAAATCATTTGTTTTTCCTTTTTGTAACTGTTGGAACGACGTATTGAACATCCTAACTTTGATTTATTTCTCCTGTAGTGCGGCGTCGGGGAGCAGCAGCGAATCAGAGAGCAGCTCGGAGTCGGACACAGACGAATCAGAGAGCAGCTCCAGTGACAGCGAGTACAATCAGGCCTCGCGCACACACACTCCAGAGGTATAATGACAATTCAACTCTGTGCTAACATTGTAGATATAATGAGACATATGACGTGGAAAACATACGCAGAACTGTTTGTCCTTTTTTTTTGTTTTTAAGAAACACGCTTAATTATTTATTTTATGTGGAAAAACCACTATGTAATGATATAATGCAAAATAAATGATATAAAACAATATGCAAAAGAAAAAAGCTCTGAGGTATTCTATAATGTATATCATTTATTATGTTTAAGCAGCTGTCTCAGTGGTACTGAACATAACAACCATAAAGCGGTCACTCTGGTCCATAAATGAAGTGCATTCAGCCTCTTACAGTAGCAACAAGAGGGCATTTATTTAGGTAGTAGGTATAGGTATACAACAAGAAATGAATCAAACTTAATAATGGTTTATTCCATTGTTCCAAAACAGGCAGTACAGTGGCCACCTGCATATTCCTAGCCCCAATAATGACTTACTTACTACCTCTTATTTCTTATCAAAGGCCATTTTTGAATGACTGCTTAATGTTTGGGAATTCTGTAACACAAGCTAATGCTTCAGTCCCAATGTTAAGCAATAATTCAACAACTTGCAGTCAAATATTTTTGACATTGTCATGTGTGTCTGCAGCTGAGACTTCCAAAGGTGTTCACATTTTATCAGGAGACGGATACACTTTCATTTTATTCTCCCTGATTCATCTCTATTGCCTCGTCTGACTGATGCACATTAACTCCTCCTATAGTCTCTGGGTGGTCTTCTGGAAGTCATAAAAGTCTAACTGCAGAGAGCTGTATTATGACATTATTTATCATTATTTCAACGTCTCAACGCTGCCTGGTTTCATTATGCATATACAGTCATATCCACCGGGAGAAAGTGAGATAATCATGTACTACAGTAGCTGTAAAAGATATGCTGCCGTGGTTTTAAAGAATTCAAAACATAGGAACTGAATACATAGAGAAAACCGTTAAAATGAAATAATTAATAAGTTATTAAAGGGAATCACATCTGTAACTGCCCTTGAGATTTTTTACCAAAATAATATTTGTGATCCACTGTCTCAGTCCGACCTCGATTGTTTCTTATTCTTTCTTCATCTCTTAAAAACACTTTTATTGCCAGGAAACAAGGCTATATATAATGTTTAGCTAATAATGTAGCATAACTGTCGTGTTTTCTTAAATGTATTTTAAACATATTATTGGATGTATTTAAAGTTTTTGGTGGAACTACAGTATGACTGATTAGTCCTATTTAGAACATGAGGTGCCCTTCAGCCTCTTGTGGCCAAAATGAGTATTACATCAATGCCGATCACCTGCCAAAACGTTGTTCTCCCCTATTTTCATTGATGAAAAAAAAGTGACTTTATCAGATTTATATTATCCTGGCAATACTTATTTTCTTAAACACATTAGAGATAACAATTCAGACCCGGCTTAAATGAATCACCAGAATAATGTTTTGCCTCTCTGGGCTTCCATACACTACACAACAACCATCCTAATACAATGCAGGAGTTGAGTGGAATATTTAATAACCTATACAATGTTTGTTCCCTTGTAGCCCGAGCCCTCCGCCAACAAGTGGCAGTTAGACAGCTGGTTGAATAAAGTCCAAGCTCAAACCAAACCCCTGCTTCCCCTTCAGCAAGAACATGCCACAGGTTGGTACAGTCCGTTATAGTTATTGTGTCAATCAGCAACTAGTAATGCAGTAAAAAGAGATCCTGTTTGGATTGATACTAATTCTGGTTAAATGGTCCTCTGCTCAGGCGCCATCCCCCGGCGTGCTTCTCCAGGGAGAGAAGCACCAGGAGTGGGTACAGCTGTCAAGACTAAGCCCTGTGGATCCACCAGCACCCCTGCTCCTGCTGCACCCACGCTCGAACACAAAGAACCCCGAGGAGCCTTATGGTAGGGGATACAAGTGTATTTGTTTGGGAAATGTGCCCATGTAACTTCTCAAATGACATCTGTATAATACACGCTGATAGAATAATTGTCTGCAACAATTGACAAAAAAGATCAAACTATTCTCGCTCCCTGCAGCCCGGGCAGAGAGAAAGCCAAGGCCAAGCTGAGCCAGAAGGCCTCCGGGGAGGGTCAGAGGTCAAAGATGAGGATGTCACCGGGCCTGTTGTCAGGGCCGGAGGTCACGACCCCGAGGAGGATCACCACAGGGAAGAAACAGCCCAGACGGACGGAGAGGTCAAACAGTGTGGAGGAGAATCAGAGCCAGACGTGGAGCAGAACAAACCAGCAGAGGTGAGGAGGAGAGAGCAAGAGCCATGAACATCCTGGATACATTGTGTGTTAAGCTTGATGTATCCCAAAATAAAGACTTACTTATATGCTGTTTAAATGTGCTCTAGAATAACATTTAAATTATCATATAATAATAAACACAATATTAAGCTTAGAGTCAATGAGACCTTTTTATAGACTTTTCTTTTTACTACACTGTTGCCCATAAAGTTGTAATCATTTTATTTTGTAGCTCTTCTCATGAAACGGTTGCGACAATGTGATTTATTCTTGATAGATAAAGTGTTTATCTTCTCAACACTTTATTGATCAATATCTCCCAAACATATGTGAACATTAAACCACAGTTAAAAGAGGAATGTGTCTGAAAACCAAATGATTCCAACTGTATGGGCAACGAACAGTGTATACTAAAATGAATACGTTCCATGTTCCAGGTCCAGATTTTATGGGGCACGGGGACCAATAAATATAAGTTACTAGAATGTTCCCACAAAGGCGCCAACACTCATTCGCGTAGGTCTCCCTGTCGGGTGTTCCTTTTTTTGATAATGACCGCTTCGCTGCACATTATCCCTTACTTAAATGCCGCATAAGCACAGTGCGAAATTGTGGCTGGTAGCTAGCAAGTGCACAAACAGGGACACACGTGCTCTAAAATGCACGCAAAAAAAGCGACATCATTCTCTGTTCAGGTAGATATAACACTAACACCTTTACCTTAACATAGCAAGTGCTTTGTTATTTCTGTAAATATTAAGAAACCTTTAAATTATCTGTTTTGTTTTTGTTAGCTCTTAATTTATAAAGCTAAATCCCATGTCATACAGGAAGGTTGTGCGTTGGTGTTCAGGGGGTCACAGGTTCAAACCCCACTGCAGTCAGCATGTCATTGTGTCCCTGGGCAAGACACTTCACCCCAAATTGCTCCTGTGGGGATTGCCCACAGTATTGAGTATGTAAGTCGCTTTGGATAAAAGCGACTTACACGTGACATGTACAGTAATGCATCTGAGTGAATGAGCATGTGGAGAGCAGTCTTATCTAACTGATGGAAGTGCAACTGAATTACTCTCAAGTGTGATATTTCAGGCAGGACCAAACTGTTAGAACAAATGATTTACGTCTAGTAACTGTATATTATAGCTAACATGTCATTTGTTGTTGGTATAACTAGGAGCAGTGTTAAGGCAACACTGTCACTCAGCATGGAGAGCTTAGAGTGAATCGCTGAGTCTATTGGCAGCTCGCCATTTAGACCTGTCACTCCCATCTGTTGTGAAAAATGCTCAGATTGAGTAGATGCCAAACTGGTTGCTCAGCTTGATGTTAGGCTAATTGTGAGAAAAACAGAGCTTTGTTTCTGTATTCCTTTCTCCTTCAGACACTCATTCCCTTCCCCTTTCCAATTTGAGGCTTTCCGCGTTCGAACAAGTTCGCCCGAATGCATGCTGTTTTCAATTATTTCACGCTGTCTTATATATTTTCTTCATTTTAACACACATTCCCCCCCTGCAGCTGGCCAAGGCGAGCATTATCTGCTGCAGTTTGTCAGTGAGATACTGCATGACTGTAGCAGTGCCTTGCTCAAGGGTGAATTTAATATGACGCTGCCTTTTTTTCTCCGCTGTAGCCCTGCAGCGAGGGAGAAGGACCTGTTGCCTCCTCCCTCCCTGGAGCTTCAAAACCCCCCGAGGCCACGCAGCAAACCCCCCAGTGGGAAAACAGCCCCCAGGAAAGAGCCTCGCAGTGCTACCAACACAAACAACAACACAAACAACAACACAGCGACTCTACCAGCCGCACTCCAGCAAACCCCCGCGCCAATTCCTGCTGTCAGTGTAAACCAGGTTCGTTTTTCGAGGTGGAATACACATGTATGTGTTATATAACGTTTCCTGTCAGTGATGGCCTAATGGATGCATATAATAATACTAATCTCTCAAAGTTAATCTAGTTATTACTCAAGGGGCCCTATTTTGCTCATTTTCAGGTTCATATTTGTATTTTGAGCCTCTACTGTGACATGTTTCCATGCTTTAATGTTCAAAAAGCTCTTTATTTTTCTCATACTGCCTGTGCTGCAGCACCTCTTTTCACCCTCTGTCTGAAACCAGAGCCCAGTCTGCTCTGATTGGTTAGCTGGCCCTCTGTATAATCAGTGCTACACTTATGTTGGTACTGTAGTATTGTTGCTGCCGCCATGATAATGCGAGCACTATCTGTTCCGACAGTGGTGATTTTTGTCGGCTGTATCCAACTCCTGTGAAACTAGTTAGTAGGGATGGGATCCGTATTATTCGATTATCCGGTTAACCGAATTGACGTAGCCTACAAAAAAAAAAAGAGAGAAAAAAGTATTTTGAACCGTTGTTCGTTTTTCCTCCAGCACTGTAGTGGGTTTTCCTGTGATGGGGTGCACAGCTCACTGAAGTAGAGCTCCATTTCCTTGTATTCTGGGTCGTTGCTGCAGCTGGGCATGGCTGGTTCTCACTGTCTGACTCTGGGGCTGCGCTGGTGCCCTCCGCCTGGAACACATGGTCCACAACGGCAGCAGCGGTATCATCAGCAGGAGCGCTCGTCGGGTACTCGCTTATACATTTCGGACAGCTTTTCTCTGATATCCGAGCAGAGAGGCTGTGCTACAAAACGCAGGTGTTTGTGTCAGGGATCCAGATATTTTAAATGGCATCGTCATATACATTTAATGAATCAACTTGGTCATATTTAATCCTTTTAGGCACACCTCCCATTAAAAAAAAATCGAATTATTACATAAAAAAACATATATTCATAACTCATAATCGAATACCTGAATCATTTTGAATATTCAGATAATCATTCCCATCCCTACTAGTTATCGTGTGAGTAAGCAAAATGTTTTCACCACATGTAAAGACTGATGTCCAGTGGTCTCTACTCAGTGAATACATGTAGCTTGTACCAATTTACCAATACCTTTTCACTGCCATGCAGTTCATGGTAAACATCCAAGTGGGTGTTATGGGAGAAAATGTAGGTCAAATTTGGTTATGTGAATAATTACATAGTTTTAACATCTCAAAATGTTCCCAGATGAATCACAAGCATTAACATTGACAGCATTACACCTTGGGAAATGTACCCTTCATTTATCCACATCTACAATAAGTGAAGAAACCCTCACTGCACACATGTAACACTGTCCGATCATCCTGTGATGATCACTTCATCCTTATTGTCTCTGGATGATTGGTCAAAGCCATAAAAATCCAATGGGATAAAAACGGTATTATTACATGACTATTATGGCTCAACGTCGGCTGGTTTCATGGAGTAAGAGAGGGAGTCAAAGAGAGAGGACTGAGGCATCGTCCGTCGTCTCATCCCATAATGACCGAGCACTGTGGTTTTATGAAGATTGGGTGGTTTCAAGAAGAAAGAAAGAAATAAAGGACATTTATTGTAATCTGGCTTAAAAATGGATTACAGATTTTTTTTAAAGGACTGGAATCAGTGCATTTATATTTCATTTTATTACATAGATATTGATTTAAAAATAAATGTAATGTATTTAATTATTCCAAATTCAAATCAAAACATCAATAAGGAATCAACGTTAGTTAGTTGTTAGCTGTTTCAAATGAGTCAATACTCCAAATCAGTGATTCTCAAATGGGGGTACGCGGACCCCTAGGGGTACGTTGGGGGTACTGCAGGGGGTACGTGAGATAAAAATAAATAAAAAGGTTGATTCAAAAAATACAATGCATGATTACAAAAATAATCATAGTACAACAAGGGTTCAAGATCCATTCTTGTGCATTTGTGCTTAACTGGTTCTTCTCTGTTTTTACAAGTGTGTGGTCACGTTCTAGTCACTTTGCTCAGCGCTACTGCTTGTTACAACTTGTATTTGCCGTACTCGCCATTAACTGTTATTGCTCAGGTTAATCTCGCCCGCCTCCGACGTAAGCGTGAAGTATGCCCCTTTCACACCAACGTGGTTCCCGTTCTAGCTCCGTGCTACAGCTTTTCTGGTTCGGAACCGGCTAGAGCCCGACTGGTGCTGCCGCTGCTGCGTCATGACGTCACCGTTTACGTCGCTGATTTTCTCCCCAACGGCGTTACGGCGCTCACTACAACAACAATGGGGGACTGCGTCGGGTCGATGATCGTGTTGCTTTTAATCATACGAAGCCAGATTAAATTAAATTACGACTTCTCCAACCTTATACTTTTCTCCAGAGTGCCGTGGGTCATTGTTTATTAATGTGTTTCAGCGGCATTTACCGACCGCTGCAGTGCTGGCTGCTCTTCCACGGGAGTTTATTCTCCCGTTAGCTCCGGGTTAGCTCACACGGCAGCGGCCGCTGTAAAGTATTCACTGTCTGACTGTCACACAAGCAGCTGATACATATCTCCAATTCCCCATAAGTGAATGTGTTTCAGTCTGAATTGACGCTGTTTGGCATCACAACGCTGTTATTAAAGTTTCTCTGGTATAAAATGGGTTATGTTAGCATAGCAACCGAAGCTAAACTGACTATCTTGACTACTTGTTGTTCAAGGTTCAAGGTTCTTTATTGTCAATCTGACATAGCTACAGAGTAATTATGCAGTTGAAAATCTTATGTCACAGGCTTCTCCAACAATGCAACATAATAACATAACATAATAACAATAAGAGCAAGAGCAATACAAAAATAATAATAGTTATAAAAATGAAATAAAGTTATGATGTGGAATAGTGCAGTATGAGTCTATATACAAGTTATTGGAATGATATATATATATTAGGTATTAGATACATACTACTGAGTAGCAGTTGAATGTTTGAAGTTGTTTCAACAGTTCAATTTTTTAACAGTCTCACTGCCCGCGGGAAGAAACTGTCTCCGAATCTTCTTGTCCTTGCCCGGATGCTGCGGTAACGTCTGCCAGACGGCAACAGAAAGAACAGTTTGTGGCTGGGGTGATGGGGGTCTTTGATAATCCGTAGTGATTTCTTCCTGAGCCGCTGGGAGTAAAGGTCCTCCATGGATGGCAGCTCCGTCCTGGTGATGTGCTGTGCAGTTTTCACCACCCTCTGTAAAGCCTTACGATCGAGGTGGGTGCAGCTGCCGTACCAGGCCGTCATGCTGCCAGTGAGGATACTCTCTATCGTGCACCTGTAGAAGTTGCAGAGTATCCTGGAATCCATTTTGAACCTCCTCAGCCTGCGGAGGAAGAAGAGCCGCTGTCGAGCTTTCTTGGTGATGGTGGTGGTGTGAAGTCCTCAGTGATGTGGACCCCAAGGAACCTGAAGCTTTTGACTCTCTCCACCGTAGTCCCATTGATGGCGATGGGGGCGTGTCCCTCTCCCTGCTGCTTCCTGTAATCCACAATCAGCTCCTTTGTTTTGCTGATGTTGAGATGGAGGTTGTTATCCTGGCACCAAGATGTCAGGTTTTCGACCTCCTCTCTGTATGCCGTCTCGTCATCGTCTGTGATCTGGCCGATGACGGTCGTGTCATCAGCAAACTTCACGATGGTGTTGGAGCTGTGTGTGGCCACGCAGTCGTGGGTGAACAGGGAGTAGAGGAGAGGGCTGAGCACGCAGCCTTGAGGGGCACCGGTGTTAAGAATCAGGGTGGAGGATGTGATGTTTCCCACCCGCACTGCCTGGGGTCTGCCCGTCAGGAAGTTCAGGATCCAGTCGCAGAGGGCGCTGTTGAGCCCGAGGTCTCTGAGCTTGATGGCCAGCTTGGAGGGCACAATGGTGTTGAATGCTGAACTGTAGTCAATGAACAGCATTCTCACATATGTGTTCCTGTTCTTCGGGTCCAGGTGTGAGAGGGCAGTGTGGAGGGTGAGGGCTATGGCGTCGTCTGTGGACCTGTTTGCTCTGTAGGCAAACTGCAGGGGGTCCAGAGATTCAGGGAGGGAGGAGGTGATGAATAATTTGACTAACCGCTCAAAGCACTTCATTATGATGGAGGTGAGTGCTACTGGGCGGTAGTCGTTGGGGCAGGTGATGATTGTCTTTTTGGGGACAGGAATGATGGTGGAGTGTTTAAGACATGTGGGGACTACAGACTGCAGCAGGGACCTGTTGAAGATGTCTGTGAACACCTCTGCCAGCTGAACTGCACACACCCTGAGAACACGGCCAGGGATGCCATCAGGTCCAGGAGCCTTGTGTGGGTTAACCCTTTTAAAGGATTTACACACATCTGCCCTATTTAAAACAAAAGGGCAGTGTAGCTCCTGGTCCCTCTGTACCTCCACAGCCTGGCTGCTCTCAAAGCGTGCAAAAAAACTGTTTAGCTCATCTGGGAGAGATGCGCACGCAGACACTCCCGCAGCACCCCCCGCTGCTCCTTTGTAGTCAGTCATTGTCCTTAGTCCCGCCCACATATTCCTAGTGTTACAGCCTTTGAAGTCAGATTCCACCTTCTCTTTGTACTGTCTCTTTGCATTTTTTATTGCTCTCCGGAGATCATACCTAGACTTCCTGTACTCCTCCAAATCTCCCGCTGTGTGCGCGAGAGTGCGCGCTTTCAGTTTGCCGCGCACCTCACCGTTTACCCAGGGCTTTTGATTTGGGAATGTCCGTACAGAAACCTTCGGTACCACGTCATCGATGCATTTCCCAATGTAGCAGATGACAGTGTCCGTGTGTGTGTTGATGTTATTGTCCTCAAACACACTCCAATCCGTAGATGCAAAGCAATCCTGCAGTGCTGAATCTGACTCCTCGCTCCATCGTTGTACTGTCCTTGTTATCGGTCTGTCCCTTTAAGTTTCTGCTTGTAAGCAGGCAACAACAGTAGTGAGATATGGTCTGATTTGCCGAAGGGAGGGCGAGGGAGAGCCTTATATCCATTCCGGAAAGGGGAATAAACATGGTCCAGTATGTTTCCCCCGCGCGTCGGGAAGTTGATGTGTTGGTAATATTTTGGCAAAACCTTCTTCATGTTGGCGGTGTTGAAATCTCCGGCCACAACGAACGCCGCATCTGGCCGTGAAGTCTCGGTTTTATCAATAAACCCAAACAGCTGATCGAGTGCCGTGTTGTTGTCGGCGAGTGGCTGCGGCGGGATATACACTGCTGTTATCACAACAGATGTGAATTCCCTCGGCAGATGGAAGGCCCCGACATGAGATCATGAGGTGCTCTAGCTGTGCGGAACAGTCCGATGAAATAATCTTCACATCTGAGCACCAGTTGTTGTTAGTCATTACACACACACCGCCTCCCTTACTTTTCCCCGAGTTTGCAGTCCGGTCCTGACGAAAAATAGAGAATCCGTCAGGGACAATAGCGGAGTCCGGGATAGCGGGGTTGAGCCAAGTCTCAGTGAGAATTAACACGTTACAGTTCTTAATGTCCCGTTGAAAAGCAATCCGGCTTCTGAGTTCATCTAGCTTATTTTCAATGGATTGAACATTAGCCAGAAGAATACTCGGAAGAGGGGGCCGATTCTCACGTTTTCTCAGTCTGACCAGCAACCCGGCCCGGCATCCTCGCTTTGTCTTCTTCTTGCGTCTCTCAGGTAGAACAGCAACAGGTAGCCATGGTGAATCTCCATTGTCTGTCGGAGGGTTAATATTGTCCACGAAGTTTCGCAATTGGAAAAGTTCCTCTCTGCTATATTGTATGGCAGAGTAGGTGCGGTCGGCTAGCATGTTGCGAACCATGTTAAAAGTAAAACGGCAAAAGTAAAAGAAATATGTACAAAATACGAAAATGGGCAAAGTTGGAGAGGAGCACAAAGACAATGCGGCCATCTTCACCGGCGCATCTGACGATCCCTATTGCTATCCTATTGTGGCATAAGCCGTTTTCTACAGGCACATTTTACTGGCGTATTTTTCATTATGATTCTACTTGTGATAGTCGGACATGACAACCTGTGCAGCCCATGTATTGATTCCATCCGATAGCTGCTATAATACAAAACAAAACGTCTGCCTGCTCTCCACAATGATCAATAACAGCGAACGGATGGTCAAAGTAAATAAATAAACAGTAAATAAACAGAATCACACGAAGCCTGGTTAGTGTTGCCTGACTTTATAAAGTGTGTTTTTTTTGGTCAAAGTGTGTGGTTGCGTTCTAGTCACTTTGCTCAGCGCTACTGCTTGTTACAACTTTTATTTGCCATACTCGCCTTTATCTGTTAGCTCAGGTTAATCTCGCCCCCCTCCGACGTAAGCGTGACGTATGCGGTTCTTGCTTCTAGACCTACAATTTTTTGGTGCTTGAAACGAACCGGATTCCGGAGCTTAGAGGCGGCTCCGCTGCGGTGTGAACAGGAAAAAACGGTGCTTTTCAGGCTCTAGCCCGGAACCACGCTGAGCGGGAAGCCAGTTGCAATATTAGATTATAACAAATAGACATTGAAATGGTTAAAACGTAGCAGCACTACAGCAGGGAACGTGGACAACGGAGAAAAAAAGAAAGCCAAAATTGAGCCATATTATATATATATATATATATATATATATATATATATATATATATATATATATATTGCTTCATTCATATATTTATTGCTACATTCATATATTTATTGCTCCATTCATTTATTTAAATTAGCGCTGTCAGTCGATTAAAATATTTAATCGCGATTAATCGCATGATGTCCATAGTTAATCGCGATTAATCGCAAATTAATCGCACATTTTGTATCCGTTCTAAATGTACCTTAGAGGGATATTTTTGAAGTTTGTAATACTCGTATCAACATATGAGTGGACAAATATGCTTTATGCAAATGTTTGTTTATTATCATTTGAACAATAACAAATATTCTCATGAATATTAAACACAACAACCTCTGAACATTACAAATATTCGCCTCAATTCAACCTGGAACCTCTCTCATACAATAATACAATACAAAGTGTGTGTGTGTGTGTGTGTGTGTGTGTGTGTGTGTGTGTGTGTGTGTGTGTGTGTGTGTGTGTGTGTGTGTGTGTGTGTGTGTGTGTGTGTGTGTGTGTGTGTGTGTGTGTGTGTGTGTGTGTGTGTGTGTGTGTGTGTGTGTGTGTGTGTGTGTGTGTGAGCTCAGGGCATATGCTCGAACAGGAGCTGCCTGGACGCTGCAATCATGTTGCGCGCACTATCCGTGGTGAGTGTGCTGACTTTTTGTACAATGTCCCACTGTCTGGCTACCTACATAAAGTGCTCGGCGCAGTTGTCGGCGAAATGCCGCTCCTCTGTTTTCATAACTGTCAAAGCATGAGACTGAAGTTCCCACTGTGGGTCAAAATAATGCGCTGTGACCCCGAGGTAACTGCCATTACTGACTGAGTGAAGTCCAATAGTCTCCAGAGAGCGTGGAAGTGTGGTCTGCCGCAAGCGGGCGGCAGGAGCGGGCGGCAGGAGCGGGGCTGTCAGCATCAGCTTGTAGATGGTATTTTAAACTCGATGCGCTCTGAAACTACGGGGCGGCCGAGGACAAAAAATGCACATGCGTTAATCGCGTTAAAATAATTAGTGGCGTTAAAAGAATGTTGCGTTAACACGTTATTAACGCGTTAACTTGACAGCCCTAATTTAAATGCATTATATATACAATTTTAAATATATTAAAATCTATACAGTACCTTTAATGACATTTCATTTACTTTTCCAGCTGATGACTTAAAAAGTACATTGTAAAAAAACATGTATTAAAAGGAACTTAATTTACAAGCCCTGTCAATTTACATCCATCCAATTGTGTTTTTTGCGATACAAACTTATTGAGTTGCATTTCATAATCTAAAACCTACAGTAAGCCTTAACTTGCACCATCTGAAAAATGCTCCCATTTTGCCCAGGAGTAACCTACAAATATTAGAATCTTGCTAGAAAACATTGCTGAAGAGTTCTGCTGAAGAAAGGAAATCTATTGCCAGCAATCTAAAGACACATTATACAGGGGGACAGTTTTTCTGTTCTTTTCCAACAAAACACAACATGGCGTTTTGATGAAAATTGATTTTGCAGATGGCAACATGCATTGGAAACATTCCAAAAGTCTGAGGAAACTGTCGCTTCGTGTCTGCCAAGAGAGTGGGTTCTGCTCGAGAATGGGAGAAATGAGCGCTGTTTTCTTCACTGCATCTGCCTCTGTTGCTGCTTTCTCATGTTGATGTCCACTTTAGTTCTTTAATCTCAAACAGCAATCATGGATCACTTCACATCTAAAATCAAGCGTTCCACATCAGAGACATAATTATGATTGGATATAAAACAAGACGCAGGTGTAACTCTGCAGAGCTGTCAAGAAAATCTACTTTTGGGAAAACCCCAAAAAGCATAAAAGGACCTCTCTAACTCAAAATAAATATGTTTTAATGAACAAGTATTGATGATGGTGCAATGGTGTGGTATTTAGACATCAATGGAGCTGTAATGCACGTTGAAGTAGTTATAAAGTAGATAATAAAATATATCCCGCTTTGATTGGACTGAAAAAGTTGTTTGAATTATTTATTAATTGCTGGTTATGGTTATTCAAAAGGATTTCTTAATTCATAAGAAAACATAGAATACAGTATCACCAAGCCTTATTCTTTAAGTGAAGCTCATCTCATAGCTCTTTGTGCATTATCGATGCAACATGACTTTTCAAGGCCAAACCTACAAGGTCAATTGCAATAACTGTAACTTCATCTATTCTAGTGCAATAATTAGATTAATTCCAGACCGATAAGAAAATGTTCTATAGGGAAATAAATACTCTTATTCTCTTGCAAAACTACATGTATTTATTTCTCTTATACTATGTCTGTGTATGTGTTTATATAGGCTATATAAATATAGGTTTTAGTGCATGTAAATGGTCTTCAAAGGTTAAAATCCCTGTGTTTCTCTCACACACACTCCCCCCTGTCTCTCCCACACACTCCCCCCTGTCTCTCCCACACACTCCCCCCTGTCTCTCCCACACACTCCCCCCATTGGACTTCTTTGTTTACTTCCATAACATAAAGACATCACTATATGACACTGAACACATTGTACGTGATAGGCTAAGGGGCGGGACATCTCTAAGTGGTTGACCAATCACAACAGAGCCTGCCAGCTAACCAATCAGAGCAGACTGGGCTCTGGTTTCAGACAGAGGGTGAAAAGAGGTGCTGCAGCACAGGCAGTATGAGACAAATAAAGAGACAAAATACAAATATGAACCTGAAAATAACCATTATATGTCCTCTTTAAGCACACTTGTTTAAATATGTACTTATTACTTTATTATATATGTATTTAAGCACATTATAAAGAATTGTAAGCATGTAAGAAAACATTGCATACATAGGCTTCATACAGTAGAATAATAATTGTTTTAGTTCTTTTTTGATTCAATGCTCTCAAAGCTCACCCTCTTTGGACTTTGTTGTGTTTTTGTAATGTCTCTAAAGCAGGACAAGAAGAAACACAGAGGCCCAAGCACCAAAATCACCCCAAAGTCCCGAGAGTTCATCGAAACAGATTCCTCGTCCTCAGAATGCCACTCGGATTCGGAGGAGGCGATCAAAGTCCCCGCTCTGCCTCCTCAGACTGCGCGCTCTGCCATCAGCACACACACTCTGTCCAGCGCGCACACACACACTCCTCTACTCCCGTGTCTCGCCTCTGCCGGCAGTATGGGACCCTCGGGGGGGAAGGGGCTCCGGGTCAAAGACAGTAGCAGCGGGATAGCTAACGGTAGCAGCAGTAACGGTAGCATCGGGGCTTGTGGGAACACCCTGAGCGTTAGCAACATTAGCGGCTCATTTGGCCCCTCTGTACCTGATCCTGGGGGGTCAGGGGTCCCATGCAAAGAGTCCATGTCTCCCCCGTCCAATATCGGAAACGAGGCGCCCCTGTCTCCGCTCAGGGAATACCAAGAAGTCCAGAGTTTATGGGTGAAAATTGACCTGAGCTTTCTCAGCAGGGTGCCTGGCCAGGGTCCGGGGGACAGAGCCAAAGTAGAGAGGGACGGAAGTGAGAGACAGGGGGAGAGGACAGAGAGACAGAAGCAGGCAGAGAGAGAGAGGCAGAAGCTTCCTAAAGCTGAGAAACAGGAAGAGGAGAATGAGCGATTAGCGCAGGACAGAGAGAGGCAGATGGACAGAGAGGACAGGGGGGAGAGGGAGAAGGTGTGCCAAGGTCTGGGGGTCCTGGATACCCCCCCTGTGCTGGAGCAGAGTAATCCCAGGCTGGCAGGCAGGACAGAGAGAGCAGAGAGCGGAGGCAAACACAGGGTGCCGGCAGCAGGAACCATGGTGGTCCCCGCAGAGAAACACACCAGCAAGAGCAAGAGGAAACACAAGGTGGGCTTCAGTTTAAACCCCTTCACATTCTCTCATACTTTTACCTTTAACTTTCCAAATGGTATCCTATTGTAGGTAGATAAGGTTTGTTTTCTTCCCTATCAGACAGAGCACAGCGAGGCATCAGTCAACGGCAATAAGAAGCTGCGGTTGGACAAAGACTGTCTGCTCCTCCCACCATGCATCTCTCCAATACACAACCACACGAACAGCACCACAGAGTGAGTATGGATGCACTGAATACACACTAGATCAGCTACAGAATGAAATATCCTCAGTCATTACAGCTGAAAAACAACTGAAGTGAAAAAATGTTGCTGTGGGATTTACATTTGGGATACTGCAGGAAGGACATTTCTTTAAAATACGGGGAGCTCGCTTTTCGGAACAATTTGAAACCTACATTGTTAACAATCAATCATTATTGTCATCCTATCAGTATGTGCCTTCATTTCCTTTATAGGCACTTTCCGAAAGTTTGGGATGGTAAAATGTGAAACAATGGGCAGGACTTTGAATGGCTTCACCCTAATCTGCCGCAGATATACGATTCAACAGGGTTCTGCTCTGAAACATTGCTACACATGCCTACTAGTGTGTTTTCTTAACCATGAGTTAACACAACACCATTTTGTCCCAAATGTCCCTTTAACTGTTGTTGGAGATCTCGAACGAAAGCCTCAAATTACAAGAGAAATGCCACTTCCCTCATTGCTAGCTGAAAAAAAAGTGTATTAGTTCCCCATTAATGAACTGTTACAAAAACAGTAAATGGGACAGCTTTAGCCAACATGGCTAATTTCAGGCTGTTGTCCCCGGCCAGATGATAATAGACAACCTAAAGGCACAATACATCAGGTACATTTCTGGACCTGTATGTGAGTCTCAGTCCTGCAGTGTGAAAGCTATTTTGTAATGACTGCAGAGGGGGTCAAAAGTGCAAAACTGCATGTGGGGCAAGAAGAGTATCAGGGGGAGGAGTTGTTACAACTGCCACAGATCAGCAGTTTCAGTATACATTTGCAAACACACTAGATTTTCAGTTACTTGAAGCAAAAACACACTCTGCTGCAGAAGAGTAGATCCTTGCTGCCCATTCATTCCGCATATCCTTCTTTTTCTTCTTTGGTTTTTTCTTCAAATGGGATGGATAAACAACTTGGATTGCTAGCTTGCCGACATACATTTTTGGGGAAAATATCTACGGTGTGTGCTTGTGCTTAGTGATGTAGATTGGAGAGCAAAAAGACAAGACTGGTCAAATGTCTTCTTATGACAACACAAAACTACCAAAGAAACACATGGACACCATTATTAGACAAACAGTGTTGTTCTGTGCTCAGATGAGACCTGATGACTTTGAGGGTCCTATAGTGTGTAGGTACCATTAGCACACAGGGAGGAAAGGTATGCATGCTCACTTTGAATCAAAATATCAAATACCCTACCTTAAAATAAAAATGACAAACATCTGATGAAATAATAACTACGAAAAAAAGCTCAACTTCCTCATTCTTCCCCTAAACAACACATCCTTATGCGACTCGTAGAGGCAATCGGACCCGTTTCCTGGGTATTTTTAGGAGGGCTAAACATTTCTAACGAGGTGATGTAAGACCCTGTAGGGGAACGTTCAATCCCCGCTGCGACACAGGAACTGAGTTCAGCTTTCCGTGTGAATTATTAAAAACAGACGTAAGCTGGATGTGGCTATAAATAAACATCAGTGTGACATCCACTGAGAACATGTTTTTATAGCATCTCCGTGCTATCAAAGAGTGAAGAGCAAGGAGAGGTGGGAGGAAAAGAGGGGGGGGGGGGGGGGGGGGGGGGGGGGGCTGACCTGGACTTGAACCGTGACATGGTACGGCAGACGTCTGAGAGGCTTTTTATGGAAGCTGTAAAGTGGAGGATGTGATCATCCTGCTCAGACACATTCAGCAGCTCCTGATCTGACTCCTGGCAGTTAGCATCACTCTGTTCAATCAGACATCGGATCATTACAGGAGACATATGCTGATGGGTGACTTTTTGTCATGTGTTGAGCACATGACATTTCAGATCAAACACACTAAGCTACGATACCTTTTTAGCTGCTTTGTCCAAACTTTAAATATTTGGACATAAACAAAACAGCGACTTTATTTTTCGAGCCTTAGACAGTCTGTACACATACATACTTAAAGGGTTTTGTACCAGTTACTGTACAAATATAAGGTCTTTAAGGCTCTGTTCTTTGCTTCAACAACTCAGTGACAACAGGCGGAGATTCTAACCGCTGATTGGCTATCGAGAGACAGCTTCACGCAATTTCCTCGCTTTTCCGCATGGAATGCTTCATGGAGGTTCATGTTTGTGAGATAAGAAGGAGACTTTAGGAAAACAAAGCTAATTTAGGTTCAAAACCTGTAGCTTTCGCGTTGTGTAGCATGAATACTGTGACAAAGTCCTCAGTCTAAATGTATTTCTACAAAATAAAACATCAATTAAAAAATTGGACACGTGGCTAACGAAGCACAGATGTGTGCTGTAGCAGACAAAGAAAACAACAGTTTGATTAAAGTTGGACACAAATCTTGAACTGCTGAGTCATTGTAAATATATTGCAGAGGCATATTTGGCAGATCTACTGTGATCATTTGGTGCTACATGGCTGTACCTTTTCTTAACTTAGTATCCCTTTCTCTGACACACACACACACACACCGGCATCCACTTAAGGATAGACACACACACACAAACGCACACAAATTAGCATAGTCATGCACACAAACAGCTTGCGCACATCAATTATGCTGTACACAGACACAAAGAGTGCGCACACACATATAACTCACACACTCACACACGGTTGGCTCCGCAGCAGCTAATTAGTCTTTGTCTCGGCGGTTTTGTATATTATCACTAATGTCGGGGCCCGGGGCTCTGTTCTGCAAGCTCAGCAACTTTTTTCTCGCTGCATCAAACCCCCAGAGTTTCCAGGCAGAGGAAAAACATAAAAATATTATCTGTTGTGTTGCAAACAGTATGAGTCACAAGAGCAAGGATACGGCAGCGGGGGGAATTAATGGTCGATGCTCCAGCTGGGGAGGCAGAAGAACAACAATCTGAGAAGGAAAATATCACTCAGCATCTGCAAGATAGATACACACTGTTAAAGTCTCCTATGCAATTTGCACGTATTAATAAAAAGGTAATATGCATATATTAGGAGGAAAGTGTGCACCTTTCCCTGCAAATGAGCATCATCGCAAAGATCAGTACGTTGTGTCTTTGAAAGGACTTTTGTTTTATGTTAATGACGTATTTTGATGGCAAAGACAGAGAAAGTAAAATCATCCCGATGTATGTGCATATCCCCACATCCTGTGCCATCAGTCTGACACTGCACTGTTATGCTAAGTTCATATGTTTACCCAATCCAAACTCTTAAAAAGCAGAAAAAAGGTTGCCCAAAAGACTTTAAACATAGTGTAGCGCTTGATCGGAAGAAACATTGGTAGAGGAAATGCAAAGACAAACTCTCCTCAGGTGTTTTGTAGTGTGAAAAGAAGAATTGGAAAATGAATGGCAGGTAGTCAAAACTATAAAATTCCCTTTCAAGAAATGTTAGCACTCCAAAGCTAGTATTGCCAGCACTCAGTGAGTATTGATAGAAGTAACTGTACTGTTGCTTCCAAGGAAAAGTCATCAGCGTTCAAGGGCGTTTAGTGGAGTCAGAGTTCAGCTGAGGAGACGGAGCATCTGGAAGGATCTGTTTGGTCAAAATGGAGAAGGGCAAGCTCCTTTGAAAAAATGCAAACAGGCATACAGCAGGACCTCAGGACCCCGACACTTGGTCTGGGTCCAAGGAGCAAGAAATACAGCGTCAGGAAAAGTCGAACTCAAAAAACCAAACAACTAAAATTATACGTTATGATCAGCTTTGTTCCGGAACCTCTCTTCTATCCAAAGGTTATCCAAACAGGAATTACAGTCAAGAAAAAACACAGGTCACTGATACACATCGTTTCTTGGCCTTGGTATTGAATATGAAATATCATGAAACATGTTTTACATGGCTCAATAGATTCAGGTTGAGATACACCAGAGTCAGTGTATGTTCTCTAAAGATCTGCAATATAAGGGATCATTTTGTCACAACATTTTAAAAAAACACTTAAGGGCTGTCATTTTTCTGAAACTGACAGAGGGTCAAAATGTGATTGCAGCAAAATCCCCCAAGCAGATGTTGTTACATTGATATTGAGGCTTCAGCAGGTATATTAATAGCTGAGGAGGCAGGAGACAGCCTGACATCCTAAAGTGTCTTTAATGGCGCGTTTCCACTACAGCCCGCAGCCCGGTTTAAGAGGGCTGTGACGTCAGCGGCCCGTCTTTGGTTGCGTTTCCACTTGGCCTAGTACCGGCCGGCAGGTCCTAATTCACAGTTTTTCTGGCCTCATAAAATCGTGGGGCCAGGGCCGAGACAACGAGGCTGAGTCGGGCTGAGTATGCTAAACTAGAGAGAGCGTCGCTGGCAAGGGGGCAACAACTACAACAAGATGGACATATTTGACCGTGATTTAATTGTAATACACGTTTCAAAATGATGCCGAAGTAACAACATACTGATACCGGTTAGTAAAAACCATGAATTAATGCTTTGTCAAGTCTGCAGACAGACGGCAGGCGAAAAACCTTTTAAAATGCGTGTTTTCTAAATGGAGATTGGCTAAGCTAACGCAGTATATGCTCCGACCGTCCACACTCACAACAACGGCCTATACAGACATAAATAAACCAGCGACTGTATTCACCATGACACAGGCAGTCTGTGGTTTGTACTTGTTTAACTTTTGTCTAGTTTCTGAACATATATGAGGAGCTGTGAGCTCTGAGTGCTAACAGCTAACGGCTGTGTTGTTTTTCTGGGGTCCTCTGAAGATCACGTCACGGCTCCGCCTACACTGCGTTACTATAGATACTGCCCCAGTTCCTAAACTGTAATGGAAATGCGCCATAAAGTGAGCCAGTCCTAACGAGGCCCAGCCATACCGAGCGGGGCCGAGCGAGGCCGTGTAGTGGAAACGCGGCATAAGGCCTTTAGCATCATTAGAATCCCTTTTTACAAGAAAATGTGTGTTTGCCAAAAATAGTTATGGTAATTGGACATTTCTAAAGTTCGCCAATGTTTTATAAAGTCATGATTTGTCAGGTACAGTTTATTTTCAAGATGATTTCCACTTGTGCACAAGAGTATGTGTGATCATTTGTTTTGATATGTGGAGAAGTTCAAACAAGCCAAACTCTTGATTTGAAAATGTCCACAGGACCTGCAAAGCAACCATTATTAGCAGCCAATGGGACTTTCAGTATCGTCTCACACCTCATCCTCACATGCTACTTTTACAGTAAGGTGTCAAATTGAGGAATCACACTTTAGCTGTAAGCACGAGTAGGCCAACTAATTAGAGCACATCTCCTAAAGAAAGAAATCTTTATAATAAATACATTAATAGTCACACCTTTTGTTCCCTCTTTGTGTTCAGCAGCTCATTAAACAGGAAGCAGTCTCGGCGGCGCGACGACAAGCTGCTCCCCCCCCTCCTGTCCCCGCTCTCTGACGGCCCCCCTCGGAAAGGAACGTGTGACAGCAGTTCCTCTCTCAGCCAGGAGGGCGCTGCCACGCTGCCCTGCTCCTCCTCTTCCTCCTCCTCTTCCTCACACAGACACAGGAGAGGGGAAGAAAAGGCGTCATCACATGCGAGGAACGGCAGCGTAAGTACTCCAAAAATATTTAAGTATATGTAAATAAGTACATAAAAGTAATTGTTCTCATGAAAATAATATGCCAAGTTTTTAAGATATATACAAAGTTAAGCTATCAGTGGTTGGATGTAACTAAGTACATTAATTAGTGTCCTTAAGTGTAATTTTCAGGTACTTGTAATTGAGTATTCCCATTATCTGCCACTTTATACTCCACTAACATTGTGTGCTTTTTAACATGTATTTGATATTTGAATTGATTAGTTATATTTTACATAAATAACATCATGTGTGTATATGATAAATAAGTATAAACTACTTCTAATCTACTCGGTAGTACACAAAGTATCTAAATTTGCTTTACTTTGACCAAAATACATAATTGAAAAACTCTTATATGTACTGTATTTGTAATTGATAAAAATACAATATAATGTTCTATAATTATAAGACACTTTTAAAAGAGCTGCCCAATGAGGACTACTTAAACCTAAAGTACACTTTGCGGATAATTCTTCTGTACTTCTACTTAGCAAACATATGGAACCCAGGACTTTTACTTTTAATGGAGTATTTTTAAACTGCGGTATAACTTCTTTGACCCAAGTAAATGATCTCAGCACTTTCCCACCGCTGCACACTGTCACCATGTTAGGAGATTAGTACTGTTACTGTCATTATCTCCGTGCAAAATGGAGTTTCTCACCTGACACTGACACGGCTCCAGAAATAACCGTGGAGTTAATGACATGCCAGGATGTACTGCATGACACACATCTCCACTGAAGTGACTCATATGTCCTCACCTCAGGAGTTTCAGAGCCAAAGTCACTCAAATATGTCCTCATATCCGTATTTGGTTCAGCGGTGGAAGAAGAATGTTGTATACGAACTGAAAATGCTATATAGTATAATATACAGTACAACTGAAAGTCAATGCATTCCACATTTTACCAGTAAGAAGTCATTAAAAGAACAAAAGTATCAGTATCACAAATATATTTAGGGTAACAAAAGTAAAAGTAAATGCAGAACAGCCCTTCATATATTATATTTCTAGGTCATAACTGTTAATGCATTGTTGTGTTGACCTTGACATTTGTTCAGTTAACATAATTCTGTATCAGAAATCTAAATATGCCAAGTTATAACTAAATAAAGTTATACAAAAAAGCCTCTAATATGTAGTGGAGTAAAAATATAGAATAGCATAAAATGGAAATACTCAAGAAAAGTCCTTCAACATTATACTTAGAGTTATAAATATGGTAGCAGGTAACGCTTTAAAATAATAGACAGATGCATAAGATTCAACAAAAAAGATTTCCACGTAAACTACCTAAATAATGTTCATAAAAAGATGCTCTTAACATTTTTAAGATGCATTGTGCATGGTTTTCATTAAACATTTCAGAAGTTTTTTAGAATAAAAATCTCTTTCTGGCACAAATGTAAATATAAATTCACTTTCTAAATCCTTTCTCTACACTCTTTCAACCCCTCTTTATTAGAATGCCAGTAATACAATTCATGAACTAAATGAATCCATCACTGAGAATCAGAAGCCAACATACTATAGGTTCAAGTTTCTCTAATACCATAATAACCATTCTTTATCCTTTCTTGACTGCAGGAAGTTGATACCCGCAATGAGAAGCCCAGTGGAGACAGTTACCATGCCAACGGACCGTCAGACTCGGAGGTGTGGTCGGAACCTCGCCGACCCAGACTGTCATTCAGCGACACGTACGTAGAAACACACTAACACTTTATTTACACTAATACACATTAGGATGGTGGATATTAACTGCAATGTATTGTTATTTTTTATTTTTTATAATTAAACATTTCTCATGTTTTTTTCCTACTCATCATTGTTCATTAGACATTTGAGTCTGTATGATGCTTGTAAAAGTCATCTCTGGATTTCCTGTGTTATTAGTGAGCAGGTGTTTCCCCCTTTTCAATGGGCGTGTGTTTACATAATTCCACTGCACATATAAATGTTATGCTGCGTTCACACCGGACGCGATGCGAATATTCGCATCGCTCCAATCGCGCAAGTTTCACCGCGGCTTGCAGTTTGTTTTATCGCGTCATTCAAAACAGACATAGCAAAATCAAAAAAGAAATGTGCAGTTTTGCAAAGTAATACATAATCATTCTTATGTGCTTGATAGGCCCTATTATACTTTTGGGTTTTTTCCCTTTCCTGTAGTGTGGTATATAACTTTCTGTGCATGTAAATGGTCTGCAAAGGCTAAAATCCTACAGTCCAACCAATCAGAGCAGACTGGGCTCTGGTTTCAGACAGAGGGTGAAAAGAGGTGCTGCAGCACAGGCAGTTTGAGAAAAATAAAGAGCTTTGTGAACATTAAAGCATGGAAACAGTTCACAGTAGAGGCTCTAAATACAAATATGAACCTGAAAATAAGCATGATAGGGCCTCTTTAACAGGTCAACTTTTTCCACATCTAAAATATGCAAATGTGTGATGTCATCTGGCAGCTTTTAGCAGTTTTTGGAGATAGTGCTAGCTACTTTATTTGTCAAGGTTTGGCAGCACTTAATAGGACACGCTGCAACCCTAAGAATCATAATGGGTGGCAGACAGAACTGCACTGTTAACACTAATGACTTCATTACTCTACAAACATTAAAACATGAAATCAACATTTACTTCATAATGATAAAATCAAGCAGAAACTTGTCTATTGCAACTTTAAAACCTGTCTTACCTTGAAGCACCGGATGATCTGAGGCAGTGTAGCCTCATCATGCTGTGTATGAGATAAAGGATCTGTAAGCACTTCACCACTGGTCCAGTTGTTACAGAGATGATACATCTTGTTACTTATTCGTCCCAAAGGGCTGCTGCATTATTCATGAAACAACATGTTTTCTTGTTAGACTAAGGTTATACTAAGCCTGAGGTATGCAGGCTACTGTATATAACTCACCGCAAGTGATTATGTAAATCACTTTGCAATGTTTTTATTAGTTTTTGTTAATCAACATGTCAGTGCAAACAAGCTGTTTATGTTGTTTCTCCCTGCGCTGTGTTCCCAGAGTCCACAGTGCTGACTACTACATGCAGGAGGCCAAGAGACTGAAGCACAAGGCCGATGCTCTGGTAAGACACACACACACACACACACACACACACACACACACACACACACACACACACACACACACACACACGCACACGCACACACACACACACACACACACGCCACACACACACGCACACACACACCTCCGCGATCGAGAACATACATGGAGAAGACAAATAGAAAATGATTTTTAAACGCACCATGTTAACATCTGTGGTCTAGACTGTAATTATGTGTTTTCTCGTTCAGACGCGTGTGTGCGCACAGCGAGTCTCCGAAGAGTAAAAATCTATTCCATATCGAGTACAGTACTGTATAATTTGTGTTATTTATTGCACCATTCGTCTCCAAGGGAACATCGCATTCGAGGACTGATGATGTCTGCAAGATTATACAATATCAAAAGAATTATCCCGTCCCTCCCGAACAATGAAATGAGATTTATTTAACTTGTTATTTATCTTCCTGTTTGTTTCCGCACATTTATCCGGGGATTTGCATCTCAGCGGGAGATTATTCAAAGAGTGCCACAAAGACTTATTCTGTCTCCGCCTTAAATCCATGTCTTGTCCTCCTTTCCTGCAGTTAGTTCTCATTTTCCTCATCGTCACATTTCTGCTTTATCCTTCGATTACTTCTTAGATCGGGGTCGGAGATGCTAGATATCTATCTCGACTAGTGACGATAGATCTCTTTAGATCGCTATCCTCGCTGTCTTCTATCTCTGATTCGGATCAGCGGATCTATAGAGAGAGGCAGATGAGTCAGAGGAAGCGATTCTTCCTATGCGTCTTCTCTCTCGCTCTTCTCTCGTTCTCTCTTTTCTTCTCTCTCTCTACTTCTTTCAGGTGATATGTGAGATCCCTCTCTCTCTCTCTCTCTCTCTCTCTCTGTAGGTGGATAAGTTTGGTAAAGCGGTGAACTACGCAGACGGCGCGCTCTCCTTCATTGATTGTGGAAACGCAATGGAGCGAGATCCACTGGAGGCTAAATCTCCGTACACCATGTACTCTGAGACCGTGGAGCTGATCAGGTACCTGATGGAGAAAAGTCACTGTAAAACATTCAGAAACCTAATTTGACTAGTTTTTTAAGTTTCTTGAAGTTTTTGTAAAATTGAACTTATTTGAGGCAGGTTTCTTTGAAGCACAGCGTCATTTGCCACCAATTATGCACCGAGTTAGGGTTAGGGTTTTTTCTAGGCGGCCACATTCAACGTCATGTGTTCAATCCTCATTGAGAACAAGTGGAAAAAAAGATGCCACTTCAATTGAACACAGGCTCTAATGCGTTCATTTCAACACCTACAGTATGTACCTATATAATAAACATACAAATTAAAAAGTGAACATAACCAATGTTTTAAAACACAGCTGTGATTGCAAAACACATGTTCAGATTTACCTAATGCGTGTGTAAGGTTGATTCATTACATTACATGTCATTTGTTAGAAGCAACTTACATCCAAAGCGACTTACATACATTACATTTTGGGTAAAGTGTCTTGCACAGGGACACAACGACATGCTGACTGCAGTGGGACTCGGATACTTACTGTACTGTGTGCACTGTCTCTGCACATTTCTCTGTAATTACTTCCAGATGATATTGTTCCAGGATTCATATGTAGAAAATTAGATTCTCTTATCAGCCTGACCTTTCCGACCCACTGTAGATTCAGCCTATTAGCAGAAATGATGTTCCGCGGTTCACCTCTCTGCACACAGAAAAGAACTAATCAAAACTGAAAATAAAAACCAAACTCTAATTAGTGTGGAGCCGGCTCTCTATTCAGACTCTCCAACGTTATTTCATCTTTGTTGTCTAAAAGCATCTGCGGGGCTGCTAATGAGTTTAACTTGCACTGCATTATGGGATGTTTTTCAGCCTTTCAGAGCTGCCATCGTGTGCAGTCCCTAAGTGCGACTTTAAGAGAGCAAACTGAGAATAACAAATGAGCGGCTCCTTTGAAAGCTGACAGCGGGGGGGTGGGGGGGGGCTGTAGTTGGAGAGAGCGTTTTAAGTGAAGGACTCTCATCCATCCTGCTGAAGTGTCCTCAAGCAAGCTGCTGATCTGTGGCTGTGACCTCTGACCCCCCGGGGAGAAAGGACAAGACATGTTTCTAGTGCAGATCAATGGAGGATAAAGGTGGCGCTGACCTGTCAGCGCCACCGATGCTGACCGATTAAAGACACGCTGAGAAATCTCATTCAGTCACTGAGGGCAGCGGGACACAGCTGACCCCTGCAGCACTTCCTGAAACACCTGATCAGTAACCAAAGGACGCCTTTATCCCTCCTCAGACTCAGATAGAGCTGACCGGAGCTCATGTTGCCTAAGGGAACTTCAGCAGGGCGGATGCTGGCGATCTGAAGAAATGCATCGCTACTGTTTACATCCTTTGTGTTGAGAAAGCTCCTTTAAATTACTTTGACCCTATTATTTGAATGGAAATGAACCTTTAATATAGACTGGTGCAGGAATTAATTGATAAACCGAGAAATTAGTTATCATTTTACTACTTCCGGTTCCCTCGTCTCGAAGCCAATGTTTTCTTAATGTCATTTTATTACATTTTATTACATTTTATTTATATAATTAAATCGATTTTTTTGTTTGTTTTATCTGAGTGTTCCAGGGTATTCTCTGAATACCTTGAAGGCCCTTACGGTTCGCCACTGCCAAAGACACTGGTGAATTATCTCCTTAGTCAGCTACACTATATTAGGGCTGCACTATTTGGGGAAATAATCTAATTGCGATTTTTCTGACAGATATTGCGATTGCGATTCGATTTGCGATTTTGTTTTTAAGCGACCCAACGGAAGATTATTGTAAAATGCGGCCATATCTCCGGCTAGGAAGGTCGCATCAACATGCTCCCGTCTCTAGCACCCCCGCAGCCCGAGCTACGAGTAAAAGGACTAAACTTACATGAAACTTCCGTTGGGTTGCTTTAAAGTCAAGCTTCAGTTTAAGATTCAGCCTGTAATAGATGTAGAACATGTGATGGAGCATTACTAACCTGACTCAGATTTGTTTCACCAAACCATCTAGGAGAGCTCCATTGGAAGCCATTTGGAAAAGGGCAGGCACTTTCAAAAATACTTGGCAGGTGATTGGATTAATCTGTCTATCACCTTCTATCATGGGCCACTTTTGATTGGTTAACAATGGCTGGTACATTTGGAGCACAGCACTTCTGATTGGTGTGGATGACTGACACACAGAAAAGAAATCGATGAATCGTTCAGCCCTACACTATATGCTTTAAATACAGTGCTGCAGGAATTATTCCTAAAACCTAGGAATGAGTGAGCATTTGATCATTTATGTCCGTCTCAAATTCATTGTTATTATTCAATTTGTTTTTGGTCAGATGCTTGAAATATGATCTGCATACAACACAAGCTGAATAAAATAACACGTATTGTTCTAAGACATAAAATACGTCAATAAATACTCAACTCATGAATTTCCCCAGATTTTAGGCGGATGCTACTGTAACAAGTGACTGAATAAGACGACTATCACGTCAAACTTAAATCTGTGATGGATAGATAGAAAAGTGACTATAATTGAAACAAATAAACAACTCAGTTTAAACATTTCCTGAAAGGTTGTAGAATGAAAGTGAGGATTAGTATGACTTCTTACGTAGGTTCTTTTAAAGCATGGTGTCATTTGGCAATAATGATATGTCTAATAGTACTTAAGTTAGTACATAATGGAAGGCCATCAAAGACTTTAGTGCTGGGAGAAAGTCGCTTTATATAAAGAAGTATGAATGTAGGAATGAGTTCTAAAACCCGGAAACCCGTTAGCTTTCAGTGTTTAAGCTTTTTTGGTGAGATGCTTGATATAAGGTCTGTGGTTAACACAAGCTTAAGTGATTCTCTTTTGCTGTGATATTGTTGTAATTTATGTTCATAAAGATCCTTGAATGATTTGAACCTTGCTTCTCTAATGAAAATGAACCTTGAGTGTGCATGTATTCTCTGTGAGGAGAGAAGTGAAGTGTGTCTGCAGCTGACGTCTGAGAATCAGAGGAAATGTCAGAGGAGTAATGAGCGTCTGTGTGCAGGTACGCCATGAGGCTCAAGAACTTCGCCAGCCACTCAGCCACCGTCGCTGAGAAGAAGCTCGCCGTGTTGTGGTGAGATTCTCTTTTTATACTTATGGTGGATTGATTTCTTTATTTTCATGTCATGCACACAAATTGCCTAACTCTTATGGCTTTACAAAAAAGTATTTATACAGTTTTAGCGGTCAAACAATGAATTACAAATGTATGGGTAAAGGTATTGTTATTGTTCGCTATGTAGAATGTGACAGTCTCAATGCTTCCAAACATTCAAAAATACTGATTCCTTTATTTATCTTTAGTGTAAAAGTAATGAAATGTAAACGTTTAATACCTCATACAGGAGCATATCATTTTCCTTCATTTCTCTTACACTTATTTGTGTTAAGTTCAAAACCACAAATGTATTAATATCCCAATATGGACTGGTACTATATCCAAATCGCAGTAAGCTTAATATTTGGTAAAAGCCAAATATATACAAAAATAAATATAAACAACGTTGTATAGTGCTTCAGAGTGGTTCAGGCCTCTAAACAGTAATATACAGACTTTAATAACGTTAATAACGTATCAAAAACAATTCAAATATTGCAATCAGATCATATATATATATATATGTTAAAATAAACCTAAGCAGCAAATAAATGCAGATCAGTAGTAGAAATAAATGAATAGACCAACTTATTACTTATACAAATTAAATAAGAATGGATACATTATACAAGTGTGAGAAATAGTTGCAATTTCATCTTTGTAACCCTATGTTTTAGCTCAAACCTTTGTCTTTTGCAGTGATCTTAAAACCTTTTTTTCTCTGTGTGCTCCTCTTGAGTGGATCGTATATAAATTGATTCACAAAGATGTGGATTTTTTTTATATATTCTCCACATCTTTTACTTGAAGTGCTTCTTAATCCGTGCAGACTTGGCGTGTTTGAAGTCCGGCTGCGTTGTGTGTGGACGACATGAAAACAAAACAGAGGGGCTTTAAAGAGAATTTGTACAGTGGCTTCATCTGCCTTCTCTAATGGTTTTGTTTCCATAGTAACCGCTGTCTGTCTCTGCTGTATCTGAGGATGTTCCATCTGAAGAAAGACCACGCTGTCAAGTACTCACGGTCGCTCATGGAGTACTTCAAGGTAAAACCCACACACACTCACACATTTGGACGTATTTCCTCCCCTCTCTCATTCTCTCCCTGTGTGGATAAAAAAGCCAATTACAATCCCTCAAATGCATTTCATATTCATTTTCATGGTGCCTGTGCATTAATTTTGCATGGCGTTATTAGAATCCGCTCTTTCTCTTTGATATTAATGTATTAATTAGCTCCATCAATCATCACAGTGGATTGTTAGGGTTTAATGTGCTTGTTTTGATTAATTATGTTTAGTGGAATTAATTACTGAGGATGTCATTATCGCAGCGCCGCATTTGCATTGATGGGATTGGATTCCTGGGAAGGCCCTGACTGGGGGTTTAGTGCTGTGTGTGTGTGTGTGTGTGTGTGTGTGTGTGTGTGTGTGTGTGTGTGTGTGTGCTGTGTGTGTGTGTGTGTGTGTGTGTGTGTGTGTGTGTGTGTGTGTGTGTGTGTGTGTGTGTGTGTGTGTGTGTGTGTGTGTGTGTGTGTGTGTGTGTGTGTGTGTGTGTGTGTGTGTGTGTGTGTGTGTGTGAGCAGTCAGAGCAGTTCATTTTAAAAGCAACACGGCACAAAATCAGTGGTGTATTACTTTTATCCACATGACACATTAGTGTGGATTTTAAGTTCTCGTCACTGATTATGATTAACATCACACGTTTAATGTTCAGAAGTGACACACACTGAACGGGGGGAAATTGGTGCCTCGGTGGGATTCTGCTCGTGTTATTTTAACGTTAATATTTTAGACTTTTAGTTGGAGCTTTGGTCTACAGTGATTTGTTTTATGACTGATTGAATACAGGGTTAAAGGGTACTAATGGGAAAGATTGGCAATAGATTTTAATTACTATTGTTCAACTGATGTTAGGAAAACAAATGCTATTTAAAGATTGTTATGTCGTAATTTAATTGCGTCTCTCCTTTTCAACATAAAATAAAGGCACTTTCTTGCCCTAAAAAAACATATTGAATAAAAAATAAATGAATAAAGTTAATTCAGTTGAGCTTTTGTTCTATAGTCAGACAGCTTTTCCTCACTGAATAATATTTACTGAAATCCTACATTTTTACTTGATTATGATTATTATTGTATTGTAGATAACACAGACAGTGGCAGAATATCAGTGTTAGTATTATTAGATCTCAGCGCTGCCTTTGATACTGTTGACCACAACATATTGCTAGACCGTCTTGAAAACTGGGTGGGAGTTTCAGCAACAGCTCTAAACTGGTTTAGCTCCTACTTGAAGGACAGAACAAACTTTTTCTCAATAGGCAATTACAAATCAACCCTGATAAATATGTCATGCGGGGTTCCTCAAGGCTCCATCTTAGGACCTTTGCTTTTTAATATTTATATGCTACCTCTGGCTGAAATTATTAAAAAGAGCGATCTAAGCTATCACATCTATGCAGACGACACCCAGATTTATTTTAAAATGACACCGGGAGACTACTCTCCGATTAGAACACTGAGCAAGTGCATTGAGCACATCACTGACTGGATGACTCAGAACTTTCTCCAATTGAACAAGCAAAAAACTGAGATCATTGTTTTTGGAGCAAAGAAGGACCGATTAAAAGTAATCACAGAGCTTCAGTCGGCAGACTATAAAGTAACTCACAAAGCAAGAAATCTGGGTGTAGTGATGGACTCAGACCTGAATTTTAACAGTCACATTACAACAGTCATTAGGTCTGCATACTACCACCTGAAGAATATATCAAGGATTAAAAAACTAATGTCGCAACAGGATTTAGAAAAGCTTGTCCATGCTTTTATTTTCAGTAGACTCGACTACTATGGGCTCAGAACAGTCTCATAATGCACACATGCACACAGGAGGATTCACACTTGTATTTCATGATCCGCAAAAGGATTCACACTTGTATTTCCGGATCCACACTTGTGTTTTTCAATGCACACACAAATGTGTTCAGTTTCATATACATGTAAATAAAATCCAAATACAGAAAAAAGTTTTACATATGTATTTTTGATCCTCACATATTTGTTTTCCGTTTAAAACCGCTGCACCTGCAAACACAACCCGCTTTCTGTGCATGGATCGCTGTGCATTCGTGTGTGGGTTTTTTGAGACTCCCCTGACGGTGACCCGATTCGTACTTGTAATTTTTTCTATCTATAGCCAATCAGATGTCTCCTCAATTCTAAGCCAATCACATGAGCGCGCCCCCACGAGGGTAGATTTATTGCGTTCATGGCGTAGCGCTTCATGTACGCATTTTGCGCTGTCCGGAGCTGACAGGTCCATGGAGCCTGCCTGCAGGCGCTAATCTCAGGACACTTCCACTCTCAGTACATTGCCACTTTCCGAGCAGGAAATGCACGCAAATACAAGCCTTTATATTATTAAGGTACAGTGCCACTTTCCGAACCATTAATGAATGCTTGTGTACACAAAAACGTCAGGCAAAACCGTTTTAAATGTGTGTTTCCTGTATGGCGAATACAGCTGCTTTATTTATGTCTGTATGAAGTTGTTGTGAGTGTGGAGGGAGCAGCTACAGGTTAGCTTAGCCTAATCGATCAGTGCACTACGAAGCCAGTGCTAGACAGTGAACTGTCAACAGGGGGGGAGCCCCGCCGGTCATTATCGGCCGATATTCACTCTTAATAGTTTGATCGGTGCTCTCTATAAAGGCCGTTCAGGAGAGCTGGATCTGATCGATATGGACATAAACGCGAGTGAAGTTTTAGCGAGCTGCATGAGAAACTGACGGGCTGTCAGGAGAGAGGGGGGGAGAGAGGAAAAGAGGATCCGTTACTCCCGTGTTATTAGCCATATCCGGTCATAGTCCGGTAATTACCTGCTAACGGAAACTCTGCTACACAATTCTTCTTCTTATTATTATTATTATTGAAACATGACCGGTAAGTTTCAAATTTGTCCGGTCAAATTAATTCTGTCTGCGGAAACCCAGCTCCGGACAGCGCAAAATGCGTATATGAAGTGTCATGAACGCAATAAATCATACCCTCGTGGGGACGCGCTCATGTGATTGGCTTAGAATGAAGGAGACATCTGATTGGCTATAGATACATGTAGAAAAAATTACAAGTACGAATCGGGTGACCGTCAGGGGAGTCTCAAAAAACCCACACACGAATGCACAGCGATCCATGCACAGAAAGCGGTTTGTGTTTGCAGGTTCAGGGGATTTAAACGGAAAACAAATATGTGAGGATCAAAAATACATATGTAAAACTTTTTTCTGTATTTGGATTTTATTTACATGTATATGAAACGGAACACATTTGTGTGTGCATTGAAAAAACACAAGTGTGGATCCGGAAATACAAGTGTGAATCCTTCTGTGTGCATGTGTGTATTATGAGACTGTTCTGAGCCCATAGACTACTGCAATAGTGTATTCACAGGGCTCACTAAAAAATCTATCAGAAAGCTGCAGCTGATTCAGAACGCTGCTGCTCGAGTCCTCACTGACACTAGAAAAGTGGATCACATCACCCCGGTTCTGAGATCATTACACTGGCTCCCAGTCTGCCAAAGAATTGATTTGAAAATACTACTGCTAGTTTTTAAATCACTAAATGGCTTAGGACCGAGGTATATAGACGACCTACTCCATCACTATGAAGCATCCAGGAGTCTCAGGTCTTCTGGGTCGGGTCTGCTCTCTGTTCCGAGATTAACCACTAAACATGGAAAAGCAGCTTTTAGTTATTATGCCCCAACAATCTGGAACAAACTGCCTAAATCGTGCACGTCCGCAGAAACACTTCCTATTTTTAAATCCCGACTAAAAATGCACCTATTTGCCGCTGCTTTTAATTGAGCTGCCCATACTCACACTACAGTATGCCTTTTCAGTCATGTATTCTGTACCAGCTGTGTTTATTTATTTATTTTATTTTCATTATCTTTGCTTTTTATGCCTGTTTTTAAATGCCTTTTTAATAATGTATTTATGCTGTATTTGTTCTTAAATGTCTTTTGCTTTTAATGTGTAAAGGACTTTGAATCGCCACGTGATGAAAAGTGCTATATAAATAAAAGTGCCTTGCCTTGCCTAGATGCAGTTTGTCTGAAACATTTTAGTAGTCATAACAACTTATAGCCGCTATTTAATGGGCTGAAACCATTCCAAATGGGGGGGTAACATGTAGATTATTGAGCTTTACAGGTGCTGCTCGGATTCTGTTTCTTTGAGACAGTCTAGTTGTTTTACCATTTCCAGTTGTTTAGCTCTTCAGGCTCTCATTTTTCTTTTAGTTTTTTTTCTTTTCCATTTATACTCAGGCAGACAGTGTGATCTATAAAAACATGTTTTTAAAAATGTGTCTTTCTGTGACCCAGAATTCAGCCAAGACTTCTCACCAAGCACCCTCTCCCTGGAGGACTAATGGCAAGTAAGTATACACACACACACACACACACACACACACACACACACACACACACACACACACACACACACACACACACACACACACACACACACACACACACACACACACACACACACACACACACACACACAGAGACACAGACACACACAGTCCCCCCCTCCCACCTTTCATTCACACAGATAATTGAGAATTTATAATTCACCAGAGCTCTGATGCTAAATATCATGGCGCCTCCTGACAGCCACTCGCTCAAACCAACCCCTGAGGAAGCAAACAGAGGGATTGATTTGTTGGAGTTGTGAGGAAGAGGAGGCTGGAGGGGCCGCTGAGTGCCGGGCGAGGAGGAGGATGATAGATGGAGGATGAGAGGGGTGGAGGAGCAGTGGATGTGAAGCTAATGAGTTTAGACAGCTCTGACGCTGCACAACAGCAGGACTGTGTGTGTGTGTGTGTGTGTGTGTGTGTGTGTGTGTGTGTGTGTGTGTGTGTGTGTGTGTGTGTGTGTGTGTGTGTGTGTGTGTGTGTGTGTGTGTGTGTGTGTGTGAGGCACATGTCGTTGGGTCAGCGAGGGTCAAGGCCACATCACAGACTCTACATCAGGCCACAGGAGCCACACAGGCAGCTGGGGGAGCCTCTGCACTGACATGACTGATGTCCTAAAGGAGGATATCAGAACACATCCTCTCACATGCAACACTTTGTATAGCCCTAGTGGATACAATTATTACCAAGTTCTTGTATTTGATATAGTTCCCCGCAAGGTCAAGACAAAAGACACTTTAAAAATGTGGCAGCTTTCCAACATAATTCATGTGCAGCAAATAGGGTTGTACAATTACTGCTTACCTATATGTTCATACAAAAAGATTAGTGACCACATGTACATCTAACCGCAGGGGATGGCTGGCAAAAGCTATTTTTACACTTAATAAAAAAACAAAATGAACAGGCTAGGACCTTTTTATTCTATACTTCAATGTGTGTTAATTGAATGTTAAGATAATTAAACTCAGTGTGACCAGGCACTGAGTATCTGTGACAACCAGAACTTTGTTTACAACATGTCTGTATTTTGTTTAACAGTAAGCTAACTAATGACGAGAAGTACTCTTATAATGAAAATTCAACCCTTTATAAACATAACAATCTCTATCTTAATGTGGGGGCTCAGGCAACATTTAACTTTGATAAATGTTGAACTTTTGGAGAAATGTTGAACTGGTCCCTGTCACCGTTTACCCAGTCATCAAATCACAATAGAGATGCAGCAGGTCAAAGAACAACAGAAATTGTTCCTTCCACAGATATTCCTAAAGTTGTTTTTTTGTTATAAATCTGTTTGATATGAATGACTAAAAAGGTAATATAGCTCAGGCAGTAGAGCCTGAGTACCCCCCTTTCACCACTGTCACTCCAATAAAGGCACTGGAATCCCCCCACAAATAAAACAACATATGCTATCTTAACAACAAAGCTCATTTATGTAATACTTAAATCCTGATGGATGAAGTCTGCACTAAAACTGCTTATAGTTTTGTTTAGCCAACAATACTCACAGCAATGGAGATCTTTCACAGTGACAGTCCTATAATAAACATTGACATACTAAATCATTGTTTATTTACTTGTGATACTCAGTAATGGATAGGAACATTTGTCAGCTTCTGTCTGTCTGTTCATGTGGCTAATTTAGTGCAAGCACCCAACAAAGTTTATTGAGGTCTGTAACAGATCGAATGACTTCATGCTATGTGAAAGATATCAACCCTCCCCCTGCAAAGAATTATCGCTGATTCTGCAGTCCCTCTCAGCTTTAACACTAGAACCGCCAACGGGTACATTTTACCCGCAGCTGTTTCTTGATTGTATGTCACTTTTTTTCAATAAAATATTCAAGTCTCCCAGTCTGTGACTTTTCCTGAAAGTCTGTTATGTAGCACCCTTAAATTGCCATTTATACCCATCAGCGCCAGCGGGTATAATATTTACCTTATAGAATATGCAGTGATTCTCGCGCTATTGATCTCGCGCGTAAACATAAACATGACGTGTTGCTATAGCAACGCCTGTTGTTTACTGTGGTTCCTTATAGATAGAGAGATATAGAGATATAGAGAGAGAGAGAGAGAGAGAGAGAGAGAGAGAGAGAGAGAGAGAGAGAGAGAGAGAGAGAGAGAGAGAGAGAGAGAGAGAGAGAGAGAGATACACACTTTTAGATGCATATAAGTTTCAAAATCAATGTATTCTAATAGCGGGTACACTTGACCCGTTGGCGGTTTTAGGTATACAGCGACCCCTGGCGGTTCTAGTGTTAAGGGGCGATTTAGATCCTTTAAAGGTCCCATGTCTTGGACATTTCTACTGATCATAATTCCATTGTTGAGGTCTACTAGAATAGATTTACATTGTTCAATTTTCCAAACTCACATTGGTTTCTCATACAGCATCTCTGTATAGCATGTGTATTCACTCTCTGTCCTAAACGGCTTGTTGGAGCTCCTGCCCCCCCCCTCCCTATGAGCCCACTGTGCTCTGATTGGTCAGCTCGCCCACTCTGTTCTGATGAGTCCACCACCGTTACAGCGGAACATCAGTGATTATATGTTACAATGCCGTTTGATAGCAACCAGAAAATGACACCAGTAATGACAAACAGATGAGAATGCTGCGTGGGGTCTGGGTGCCGTGTTGGCGGGACGTTGCGGGGCTCGCTGCTGCGGACAGTGTGAGCTGGGTTACTGGTGTCGTTTCCTGGTTGCTGCGTGGGGTCTGCGAGACAGCGAGACATCGCGGAACTCAGCCTGAGCACACACATACTCACAGCCAGGCTGTTCGCCACACACTCACAGCCTGAGAAAAGACAAGGCTGAGTGAGTGTTTCTCCGCGATCCCAACTCGTCTATTACCAACGTTCAGGGAGCTCTATGCAAGTCAATGGGACTCCCTGATAGTTGAAAATCAACGCTAAAGGTCCCCCCACTGCGTTTGATAGTGACGCCAAGGGATCCTGGTGTGTGAGGAGCTCCACGGATTGGTCCATTACGTCGTTACGTCACTATACTCAGGAAGAAAAAAATGGAAAAAGACAAATCTCCAACGAGGCGTTCTGGGGCAGCATAGACAGGTCTTTTCTGTGTTAGAGTTTTACTCGCTACAGGGTGTACTTTGAGGGTTTGTGACTCTGCAGACCGTTTACATGCAGAAAAACCTTCATAACACAAGGGGACGGGTAATAACCGGAAAAGTATGACATGGGACCTTTAAGCTCATTGTCTTTGTTCAGTCTCAGCGCTCTCATCAACATTGTTTCAAGTCGCAGCTGTAGAACAGCTTTTAAAACCCACTGTACACTTACTGCCCAGCATGCAACAGTGGAGAAATGTAGTCACTCATAAGTAAAAAAGAGCTAAAAAGAGACTTCATATTTAACTAATAATGGCTACAAACATGAGTCTAAAAGAAGGCTAATGTTTCTCTCTGTCGGCTGGATGTTTACGAACGAGTTTATTAGGTGATAATGTGTCAGGGCTGAGAACCACTTTTTCCACTACTCCCCCACGGAAATCAATAAATGCAGCTTTAACACCACATTCTTATTAAAAGTGTTACTTCTTGCCATAAATATGGTTCTTCTTATCCCTTTGGCATCTTTTACTTTCCATATTCTTCTTCCCTGAGGAGGATTAATGTTATATCACCTTTTACTTTCTTACCCTTATCTACTCTAAAAAAAAGGCTTGTGTTGTGCCTTCGACTGCAGTCAAGCACTTTTTAGGAGTCGTATCTTTAAAAATAGAATACTAATAAAGACCGTATTCACATCCCTGACGCCAGTGAGTCTGATATGTAACAACTGAGTGCACACTTTGCTCTTTGTATGTTATCAGGTATCTCAAAAGGCCCTCCAGCTCACAGGCGCTCCCTGTTCAATTCTCCTGGTGTAACTGGGATTAATGCCTCTCTGTATGTTCCAGGGTGAATGGGACTCCCTCTCCCCTCTCTCTCAGCCCCTCCCCAGCCAGCAGTGTAGGTGGAGGAGCAGGAGGAGGGTCTGGAGGGGCCCCGGGCTCCTCAGGAAGCGTGGCTATTCCCCAACGGATCCACCACATGGCTGCCAGTCACGTTAACATCACCAACAACATCCTGCGGAGCTACGAACACTGGGAGACAGCAGACAGGCTGGCCTCTGACAGCCTAGGTAGGACAAACGCTTTTTGTACAGTTACTGTACTGAGGTCTATTCTGCAACTCACCCTACAGCCGGCATTAAAGTTTTTATAAACTGGATATTTGACAGGGGATTCATATCACAAAGTCAATATGAAAAGGGGCATTTGGCTCTTTAAAAGTGTGTGTATAATCCGTCATGATAGACAGAACTGTTACTAATGAACACTGTCAAATAAATCATTCTGAAGGCAGGAAGATTGTTTATGTATGGGTCCTTTCTTTTGCAGCCTTACTAGCCTTACAAATATTAGTTGTATTTTCCACAGTATTCATTGACCTAATGCACCTTTAAAGCGTCCTTGAATCCTTCCCTCATCTTCAGAAGATACTTGACCTTGATCCCTCTGGTGTGAGAAGCTTATCCTGAATTATTTCCCTTGACCTGTTTACCCAAAGAAAATAAACACAGTTTCCAGATGAATGTGTAAGAGTGCAGGGTGAGCAGGTGGGCACGCTCTCAATAGCGGGGGGGGGTTTGGTTGAGCTGGGCTGTCGACACTGAGAAGGCTAAAGACTGTTCCAGTGCCAAAGAAGCAGCTCTCCTCTCTACCTGCACCCACACACTCACCACTTATATGCACTTTTGTCAACAAGACCAGCTTGCATCATCGGCTCGAGACGGCCCATTATTCCAAATCCCCAAACTTTAGATCTATAGTTTAATTCGGTCCTTCAGGAAAACCTAAATTAATAATGATTAACCAAGTGTTTGAACGTTTGTTGTAAGTTTAATGCATTGTTTGAGGTTTGGTTTTATTGGTGGCCGAGGCAGCACGATAGTTAGCTTGAAATGTTGTCAGCATGATAGTTAGCTTCACGTTGTATAGGAGGATGATTGTTTTGCTGTTGATTGGTCCAGTGATTGCAAAATGCTATTCAGCTTGACATGTTGTTAGCTGATGGACGCCCTGTTGTTCAGGATGTTCACGTGGCACATCATTCCAAAACCCTAAAGTTCAGAATAATGTCTTCTTGGACTAAAAGCCCATTTATCCCAAGCCCATAACTACGAAAAGGAATGAAAAGGAAAATAAGGAAATGACCCATCCTACTCTGCTTCTGATTGGCTGGTACTCAATTATTTTCATGGTTGAGTTTAGTCATGAGGAGATGACGGTAATAGTTTAAAATAGGCCAATCAGAGACAGAGTCAGGCTGGTCATGTGTTCATCATAGTAGGACAAACAGCAGCAGGGAACGTCTGATGACATCATTCTGCATTATAATTTGTTATTAATTCTGTGTTGGCATGTACTGTCGGACAAGTGGGCTGTAAAGTCCAACAGGTCATTTTTTGGACTATCGAGGATGATAGGCCTTCGGGACAATGGCAATAAATCCATCAGCTAATCGTATCTAAGCGAACAACAACCAGATGATAACATCAACCAAACAACAACGAATCTCGGCTACCACTTTAAGCTAAGCTAAATGCATGCTATGCTAATAGCCAACACAGTCTCACGGCATTTCGTGTTATATTAATCTATTGATTCGTGTTCACCAACACGATTTCGCCATTTTTTTCGTGTCACACAGAACGATTTTAAAAGCAATGTAAATAATAACAAATTAGAAGGAAAAACAGATTAAAAAAAATACAGATTTCAGTATTCTGACCGGACAAAAAGACGTGGTGCAGGCACGAAACATACTACCAATAGAAATACATTGCTTTTAAAATCGTTCTGTGTGACACGAAAAAAATTCAAAAATCGTGTTGGTGAACACGAATCAATAGATTAAATTAATTTCGTGACTATAACACGAAATGGCGTGAGACTGGGTTGTAATAGCATATCAAGCTAACCATCATGCTGGCTGAGCCATTAAGTAAACCAAACAACACTGTGTTAAGATAACTAGCATTTTAACAATATAAATGAGTTTAATGTTGCCTGAGCCACCACATTAAGCTAGAGATTACTACATTTATTTAGGTTTTTCATTATAAAAATACTTTTACTTGGCGTTCTGTTGAACAAAATACAGACGTACCATTAGCTTTGAATAAATGACTGACCTAACTTTAAGCTCAATCTCTCTCTCTCTCTCTCTCTCTCTCTATCTCTCTCTCTCTCTCTCTCTCTCTCTCTCTCTCCTCTCTCTCTCTCTCTCTCTCTCTCTCCCTCCCTCTCTCCCTCTCCTCTCTCCCTCTCTCTCCCTCTCTCCCTCCCCTGTAGAGTTCTTCCAGGAGCTGGACTCTGCGATGGAGCCGCTGAGTCAGCAGAGCAGCATGACGGAGCTGGTCCGATACATCCGGCAGGGGCTCCACTGGCTCCGTTCAGAGGCCCACCTGCTGTAAGAACTGGACCCCAGCCAACATGTAAAAAAGAAAAAAAAGAGAGCGAAACGGGCCTCTGGGCTAGAACTGGGATAACAAGTGAGATGAGAGTCATGACGATGCTTCAGTTCCCACCGGGATCCCTCAAATGACCCGGCACCACCCACAGTAATGTACCAGCATACACTGGGTGGATTAATTGGGCTGAAATTCACCTGCAATTAGAGACTGAACAGTAATTAAGTTTGGGAATTTAGACTGTGAATCACAGAACACAAATTAGCACATTAAACATTTGGCTGATTCTGCTTTTTAGAGCAACTGTGTATCAGTGCAGGAAGCCTAACGCCCTAAAGGGACAATACAGGCCCCTGACTAGAAATAAAAAGCACAGAGGCAAGGTAAAAAAATAAATGTTTTATAAAAGATGTGGCTGATGAGATTCTGGAGTCTGGAGAAGAGGAAGGAGCTGAACAGAGGCTCACCTGCTCCATCAGCGGCCCAGAAACGCCTCAGTTGTTGATACTAGAATCAAAAGCCTCGGGCTGATATCGATTCATGTGGAGTACCGGTCCAATCCATCAGATAAGGAACGCTCTGGAGAAGGAAAAGAGGCTCAGCTACATATACTGGAGTTGAATTGATGGAGGCTGGAGTAGTTCTGTTTCAGTCAGAAGTTAGAATCTTCCGCTGAGAAATAAACTAAAAACACAGTATCTGGTCACAAAGATACATTTTTGAAGTTATGCTACTTGAGATTTTCATCCAATCAACTACATTTTTAGTGGTGTTTATGGCTGGAAACAATGAATGTATTTACTTTAATAAGATGCCTTTTATTATAAAGTATATCTTGCGTTTTTTTGCGAATTCAAATGTCGTATACATGCGTTGGAGAATCACAGGAAACTATTTGCGAAAGACCAAAGAAGGGCCACTTTTGACTGGCATTTCAAAGAGAAAGCATATTTGCATAATTACAGATATTTAGCTACAGTAATACATAAGCTAAATACAGAAACACTCTTGCTTTTTTTATTCTCATGTATTTCTGACAGAGCAAGTAAATATCCCTTAAGAAACGGCACTTAACTCAGTAAACACTGTGAAGTGTTAACTCTATTCGATCTTTTTACATTAATTAGCGTAATGCTCATAATTCTTCGTATGGTTTAACATTGTGTTAAAAGTTGGAAACATAAGCACTTTTGCAAGTTACGACATCAGTTGTAAACGATGGATTGTTTCTGTGAACCGCCGTCAACAAAAATGTAGCGATCGCAAGGAAATTCCTTTCGTAAAGGATGATCCAGTGTATGCTAAACTAAAGGAGATTATTAGGTAAGCATGGAGGCTCCTTTCCTATCATCTAGACCAGCAGTTTTCAAAGTGTGAGGCGCACCTCCCTGGGGGGGGCGCCAGAGAGCTTCAGGGGAGGCTCAGCGTGAGAAAAACATTACGAGAAAAAGACGAGTAAAGTGTCACTTGCACACTTTTGGCTGTCTGTGGAGACCTCGCCAAAAAGGCTGTAAAAGTGCTCATTCCCTTCACCTCCACCCAGGGGCGGACTGGCCATCTGTGTGTTCTGGAGAATCACAGAACGCCCGGTCGTCAGCGGGCCGGTGACGGCCGGCTCGGTTCGCTGGCGGCCGGCACCGCCCATTATTTTTTATGTTTTTAAACGGCATCATTTAAGTTGCGCTGACAGGCGACAGAGGTCCGTTCAGCGTAAAAAAAAGTTTCAAACATAAAGATAAAAAGGTTTTAAAAAGTTATTGTTTAATGTTTTAAAGAGGTGACGCTACTCAAATCGGTGCAGTCAGTGAGTCAGCACGATAGATTCAAACACACACACAGAGACGAGACAAGAGGAGAGAAACAGTCGGAGTCATTGCAAATGGCGTGCTCAAAAAAGAGAAAGGTAGACAGTGAAAAAGGAGCATTTAATGACATTTTCTCTTACTGGACCTCTTTGAAATGCAATTGAATACCCCTGCATTATAGCAACAACAACAATAATAATAATAATAATAATAATAATAGCAATAATAATTGGGAGGGGGGGCGCAGCTGTTCTTATGTTCTCTGAGGGGAGGCTCACCTTCCCACACTTTGAAAACCCCTGGTCTAGACAATCCGAACAGCTCCTATCATGGCTGCCAATCAGATACTTCCGGGTAATTTCTCTCCAATAAGAACCTTCTTCTGCAAAAAAGACTCTTCGACAGGAACCAGTTTGTCCAGCTGCCATAAAGTGACTCAAATGAGATCAGGGGTTTGTTTCAGTAAGAGCTCTAAGATCTCAGATGAACCAAACAATCATGAATCTGACATTAAGCTACATATAGCTACACTGAGGATTGTTCAACAGCAGAATAGTATATACTCGTCCCACTATTGATGTTTTACTTCCATCAAATAAAAGCATCTGTCGGGTTCTTCTCTCACTGGTTATGGAAATGTGTAAAACCCAGTCAGTTCTACTTCCCAGAGTGGCCCACCCACTAAGGTGTCAAACACTTACGGGGGGATTGAACTACAAGATTTCTAACCAAGCCGCCGCCCACCTGTCACACTTTTCTGCTCTGATGGCAGAACATGTGTGCAGCTTTTAATGGGATCTTGTAGTCCATTCCCAACTTATGTCGTGCTGTGTTGTTAGTGTGTATATGTGTACAGCTGATTGTCTATTTAAACCATTATTATGACTGGTACTGATGTATGTGTAACATAATGTACAGACTCCTGAGAACAGTGTTCTTTTTATTTTTAGTGTCCTGTGGATGATTACATGTGAATGAATGAAGAAGGGAAACAAGAAAATAGAGTATCTATATATATGTGTGTGTGAGGGAGAGTGTGTGTCTGTGTGTGTCCATGCACAGGCTATGGCTGCATTTACAAAGCACCCAACATAACCAGATGTGTAACCCTTTGTGGCACGTAAAAACAAAAAGAGAGCCTATTTTGTTTGTGTTATCAAGATACAAATCTGGATTATCATGGTTTCAGTAAATGCAGCACATGGAGCATGAGTTTTTAAGTTTTGGATCATTTGACCATCGCTGAATGTGTATGGAAGACAATGCAGATGTGAAAAGTAATTTTTCACTTTGTCAAAAAAAAAAAGAAACTCAAGTGCCTCTATTTGTGTCCTGGTGGGAATTGCTCTATTTATTTAAGAACAAAGAATTAATCTAAATGATTTTCCATACCATATTGGTATAAATATGAGATTGTTTTTCGTAAAATCAAATGTTTCCACAAGCTTTTTACTGGCGTTTATGACGACACCAGGGTTTGGCTTTAAGAAAAATGTGTGATTTAACGTGTTAAATTTGCATTCGTTGCTGGAGGTTTTTTTCTCAAAGATTTGAGCAAGTATATGGGTTTGTCTGAAATGCCTGAAAAATGTAAACCATCGCATGCAATAAACGATAGCTTCAGACCAAGAACTACTTGTGTCCATTTGGAAAAAGGAAAAAAAAAACAGTCAATGTATTTCTTGTTGCATAGTCACTTACAGTGTGAATGTTCTACATCACATGGAAACACAGAGCCGCTTTAAGATGCACAAAGCTAAAGCTAACAGTATGCTGGAGGGAATAACAATCAAGAACATCGAGTCACTTAACAGGAAAAGTTTGACATTTTAGGAACTACTGTTCTTTCAAAAAGGTAGGGAGAAGATACCACTCACATGTCTGCTTGCTAAATATGAAACCTAAAGCTAGCAGCTAACTAGCTTAGCATAAAGACTGGAACAAAGGGGAAACGGCTAGCTTGGTTTTGTCCAATGATAACAAAATCTACTTATAATAGTGGCACTTCTAAGCTCGCTTATAACACCTCATATCTAGTTTGTTCTAGAACTGGATGATATATACGGATTTGGAATAATTAGAACGTTTATTTTTGTACGATTTGTCTACATTTTGAAAAGATCAAGTTATTGCAATGTGCCAAAAATACGGTTTTTGTATGCATTGAATGTGTGAGTAATTCTGCATATAGAAAAAATAGCTTTTTCTTTGGTCTTTCTGAACACATAAATCGTCCCAAAACTTACAATTATTTTTATTTTGGGGCGTCTTTGTGGTTAGCTAGGCTAACTAGCTGCTGATCCACATGTAGCTTCATATTTAGCAAACAGACATTCGATTGGTTACTCTTAGCGCTAAAAGTGATGAAGCGTATTTCCCAAAACTCCCGAAACTTTTCCTTTAAAATGGACTCATGGTTCTTCATCTGAAAGCCTGAAACTCCGTTCCCTGTTGTTTAACTAAATGCCTTTTATAAAATGATTTGAGGTTATGAAGCCAAATTAGCAGTAATAATAAGCCAATGAACTTCTACAACAGCCAACCAATAAACCCCACAAAGAGCCTGACCTCAGTCACTGATCCACAGTGTTGCTCAGTCCAATTCAATGATGTTCGATGTTGTTTTATTTTATGGTGAAACAGTGATGTTGCTATATGGTTCTTGTTCATCTCACACAATCCTTATTTGAATAAAACGCAGCGGTACAATATACTTATACAATAATATGCTGTAAAATGTCAAAAACATTGCATTGATGACATCATGGGTTTCATCCCACTATGCTACATGTCAAATGATAATTGTGGACTTTATGCAATGTCAGTATGTCGCTATAATCTGAGACACTCAGCATGGCCTTTTATTCTGCTGACATCTTATTTAATATCTCATTAGCTCCTGTTACATTACCACAGTTGTCAAGTTGTTTATCAGAAGCAGCAGTGACAGAATCAACGTCGCTGTTGGTGTGATTACAATAGAGCGCCGAACAGAATGATTTATTTTTTGACAACAGATGGGTACAAGCTGATAAAACATTGATAATCTCTCCAGTAGTGATGAGTGTCTCTAATATGTGTTTGCATTTCAGAAAATCACAGATATACTCTGATTGCTTAGAAACTGCTCCATACAGTAACTGAACTCGCAGTATTTATAAGGATAAGGATTGTTTTTCTTCTCAAACTCCTGTAATCTACCAGAGAGCTGCTTATTTATTGTTTTATTTTTCCATTTGATACGTTATAGTCATGCAACACTCAAGTATTTAAAATATAAATCTCTGTATTTATCCAAAAACAAATCATATGTTGGGGTCACAGGAGGAAGACAATAATACGACAATAGGCTAACATGCTAATCATGTTTAGGCCCTTTTGAGTTTAAGTTTGAGTTTAAGTTAAATCAACGTCAATGTCATGGAGAATTCTTAAATTAGAAAAAAAGTATTCTTACACACATTATTTCAGATAGTTGAGAAAGAAAATCGATACCACTATCATGTCTATGTGTTATGTGCAGACCCAAAACCAGGAAGCGATTAGCTTAGCATAAAGACTGGAAACAGGGAAACCGCTATGTCTAAAGTTAAATAAATATGTGTAGCACCTCTAAAGCGAACTAATCAACGCCTTGTATCTAGTTTGTTTACTTAATTTACTAAATAAGACTACATTTGAGAAGTCAAAGACGCTAACTCAGTAAATTACAGAACAGCTAGCTCCAGCTCAGCCAGGTATAACCCATTGGTGTATAAATAAAACTACACGCAAGTAATTTTGCGTTTTGCATAGGATGTTTATGTCGCTGTAATATTAGACAGCGACATAAAAATCAATCAAACATCTAACCAAGTCGTTTTTTCTGTTGAATTCCCAACTTTACCACGTTTAAAACTGCAACTATGCGGCTGTATGAGGCAATTTGACATTAGATGACATGTAAAGCCTAAACTGCGTCGACATGGTGGGAAATGTGCTTAAAGGTGGTGTTCTATTACCACGCCTTACAAAGGGGTTACGTAGCTTCATATTAAGCGTCCAGTCATGACCGTGGTATCAAACTTCTCTAATTCTCAGAATATCCAAGTTGCAGCCATGTTTACTTCTGCTAAGGATTGCTTAGATGGTATTCAGAACGGCCCAGGCCCATGTGAGTGAACTCAACATCTCTTTGGAGTTTTATTCAGACTAATCTTTAAATTTGCAAAATGTAGCTGTTTCTAAACCAAGCACTTCCCCACCCTCAGAGGTTGGGGCATGTATTTCTCCAAACAAATGGAAGCCTTAATCATAAACCTAAACTAATGTACTTTGCTTATTGAAAGTATACAACAGAATCAAAATTAATGTGGCATTTTTTTATTTTAAAATGCCACATGGCAAGTGTTGGGCATCCCAATTTTTAAATGTGTGTGTTTTAAAGTCAAACTGTGCAACGTTGTTCATGTTTCTACAGAACACCTGAGAACACATCCATCCAACATGAATCACATTGTATTTTAAATGTTTTGCACAACTTCAGCTGTTTTCTTTTGTTTAATCAGTGCTATCTTTTGGCCTTTTATATGGTTCTTTTTATAATGAAGTT